CCAGCCCTGGAGATGCCTTCCCAGAGGCAACCAGCAAGTGGCCAGTTTCCTATGTATCTTTCTAGGGAAATTCTATGTGCACACAAACAATTACATTTTACCTTTTCTATCATGACAATGGTAGAATACTATGTATCCTCGTCTGAACCTTATTTATTTTTTTCATTGAAGAGATCTTGGCAGAGACGGCTGCTCTAACTCTGCACATCACATTCAAGTCAGGGAAGAAGGGAGAAGGCGATGGTGCTAAATATACCTGCTCTTTTTAAAATTTTTCAATCAAAAAACCAAATGATTTTCCAGAAGTCCCCCAGTAGACTTCCATTTATGTTGCATTGGCCAGAACCACGTCATGTGGCTAGCCTAGATGCCAGCAAGCGGAGGAAGCAAGCACCCAGCTCTTCCAGTCTCTACTGTGGTGGAAGGCAGGGGAGAAAGCTGGGAATGGGTGTTTACTTAGCCAACCGAGGGTTAATACATACCACGAATCTAATCAGAATCTCGTTATTTTCATTCAAACTGTTCTGTCTCCTCAAGTAGAATGTAAATTCCACAAAAGGAGTCTTTACCTTGCCCACCACCGTATTCCTGTTACACGTCTGGTACCTGGTACCTGACATGTAGTTATCCATTGGATGAATAAATAGCTTTAATGCCTTGGTGGTTATTTCATATCAAAGATATATAAAAAGATTCCTAATTATATATTTTACAGCTGAAAAGTATCCCACTCAATGTCTGTTTTATAATTTACTTAATCAGTTTCTTCTTGGTGGACATTAGGTTATTTAAAAATTTTTTTCTATTAAAAACAACGCCACAACGAATAACTTTTGTATAAATCATTTTGCACACGTGCAGATGTATCTGTAGGATAAATCTCTAGATGTGGAAATGAATTGCCATGTCAAATAGCATGTGTATTTGTAACTTTGATAGATATAACAGCTATTAATAATAATAATAAACAACTATTTATGGAGCTCCCCTGTGGAAAAATTTTGTGCAGGTTACTTTTGGGTAAATGCAAATATAAATAAGATTTCAACTCTTCGATCCAGGAAAAGATAAGATGTAAAAATAACAAATTTACAAGGTCTATGGTGCCATCTGAATCAGAGTAAAAAAAGAGCTAGATAGTAAACTCCATAAAAAGATAAGGACGATGTCTTCTTGTCATCTTCCATCCTCAGTGCCAGGCACAAGTCCCAGTGCTTAGTAGATGTTCAGTAAATATTTGGACAAATTAATGAATGAGTTGGTGAATGCAGAGAATGAGTTCAGAGAACAGTCAGTAAATCGCTGTTGAATGAATCAATGAATGAAAGCAGAGCGAATGAGTTCAGCCGGGGTGATCAGTAACACCTTCCTGAAGGGGCTGCTGAAACTTGGTACCATTTCTTCCATTTCATATAGGACTCTGAAAAATCACATCAAATTTTAAGTTTATTCATAGTTCTAACTTTCTTGTACAACTTTAAATTTTCTCAGAATTTCTATTTGTCTTTTTATTGGTCAGAAGAGATATATAATTTCAACTCACCAGTGTATAATTCTGGGTTATGAATCATACAGTTTGTATAATTCTTCTTAAAGATATTCTTCAAGAACTCTTCTAACTTTGTTATAATTTGAGCTGATTGCTGACACTGAGGTTTCTCTTCATCACAGTTCCACTGTTTCTTATAGTCAATGTCTTCTTCTTTCTAGATTTTTCACTTTTGCTCTACTAATTTCTTTTTTTCCCAAAAGAATGTACACTCAACTTTTTGAGTGTTAGCATGTCCAAAAAAATCGTTTTGCTCTCATACATGAGGTGTTTCGACTGGTTTTCAAATTTCAGATTTGAAGTCATTCTCTCTTGAATTTTGAAGGTATTATTCTAGCATCATTTCTAGCAACCTGTGTCATAGATGAAAAGCTCGATACCTGTTCATTCCTTCCCTCCTTATTCTTTGAATCAAGAACTTTCACCAGAATAGGTAGAGGTGTGTGTGTGTGTGTGTGTGTATGTGAAAATTGTTTCAGGTGGCTCTTTCAACCTAAAGACTTGAGTCTTCAGCTCAAGGACATTCTCTCCATTTTTTGTTTGACATTCTCTATTTTTCCCCCTTCTGGAAGTTCTACTTGACAAATATTACATCTTTGGATCCATCCTCTCTGACTTAATTTTTCTCTGTATCGTCCATCTCCCAGTGGACACAGAGGGACTTGGGGCTGTTTGCCTGGGCCCCCTGCCCACGCCTGCACTCAGCTGCCCATTCAGGCCTTCCTTCCAACAGGAAGAGGCCAGTTGTGGAAACACTTATACCAACTCTGGAGGAAACTCATGGTAGCTATTTAAAATCAGCTGGGTTTCCCGAATGAAACCCTTCAATTCTGCATGGAAGGTGTCAAGAGGTGAGGCCAGATAATGACAGGACTTCGTGCTGGAGACTTCTGGGGTTCACTATATCTTGTTCTCCTCTCCCTCCTGGGCCCACAGGAGTGTTACACTTAGCTCCCTGCTGGGCAGAAGTCACCAATTTTGAGGAGTAACTATATCTTTTAACTTTTCTAAATATGTTTACTAGTAAGTTGAGATCCCTAGTTCTGATAAACACCAAAAGTAAAAAACAATTGGTCTTAAACTAACATCAAGCCAAATATTTATTCATAGAAATAGGTCCATTCTTTTTACTGAAGAACTTGCTTTCAAATTGTGCAAATAGGTAGGTGTTTTAAATAATAGGTTAGATTTATCACTACTTTTATCTCATTGTTTTTAATCAATGCTAAATTTTATGATATTGTTTTGTTTCATTTTACTTATTTTTATGGTTACTCTCCATCATGCAATTGATACTAGTTTTCCATTTATGGTAGCTTTGTAAAGTCTCCCTTTAAAATAATTATGCTTACATGTAAAAATGAGTGTATTTGAGGAAAAACATCAAAATGATTTTACAGGTAGTGCATGGATGTTAAAAATTAAGAAATTGGTACTAGAATGACTGACGTTTGGGAAACAGCTGTATTCCAAACAACAGAAATATCAAAATCATTTAAAACTTCAATGCACCTTGCTTGAGTATCTCTACTTTGCATATAACCTTTGGTTGTATGCTTATTAATTTGCAAACTTTAAGCCTTGTGCTGGATATCTGCTTTACATACCATTATTCCCTCCTCACATACTAGTGCCAGATATACACTGAGTAATTGTTGATAATAAGTTGTTCTATACTTCCTCTGTTGGACTCATTCCTTTGCTGGCCTGTGTGTGTGTGCAAAATTAGGCTTTTCCTTTGAAAATATTTTCAAATACTTGCAATTACACTTAAACTCCAGAATAAATATCTGAAGGAGAGTTTTTTTTTTAAAGCATTCATGAGATGCAACACCATCCAAGTTTAGGCCTTTCAGAGGGCAGAACACCAGCAGAGGAGCGGTGACTCAGCTATCAGCCTTAGTTCTTCGGAAAGGGTCTCAAGGTTTTTCTATCCCCCTCCACCGTGGGGGAGTGGGAGGATTAAATTTGTATACTGATGCAAAATACAATGGTGACCACGATCATAATTCAAATAGCTAATTTCATGTACTTTTGCCAATTCTATCATGTTTCCAACAGTTCCAAGAGATTTCCCAATCTGTAACCTGGGGGGCGACTCCAGGGTCGGGGCCTCCGAAGCAGGACCGGCTCAGGAACCCGCAGAGGCAGTTGAGGGGCGGCTAGCTCCATCAGGACGCCGCCCCTCCTCACTTAAGTAGTAGAGGACGCCCCCGCCCCGCCCCGCAGCGGGCACCTGCCGCGAGCCCCGCCCGTCCGCCCGCCCCGCACGCGGGAGCCAGAGCCACCCTCTTCAGGTGTCCGTCTGAACGCAGAGCTGGGGCTGGGACATGGGCGGCTCCCGCCGGCTCGCATCCCCGGGGTGGAAAACCCGGGTTCCATGTCCAGGTTACCCACCAGCACCAGGACGGGAGACTCTCCCACCGGGCGGAGATGGAGGTGCCCCAAACCTCGCTGCTTAAATAGCGCCCCGCTGAGGGGGCGGGGATATGAATATGCAACACGAGCTCTTCCGCATGCTATTGGACAGATGGCATGTTTAATATTCATGACGCTGCCCGATTTCTGCAGGGAGCTCCCTCTGCCCAGCGAGCCGTAGGGGGCGGGCTGCACGAGGCAAGACTTCCTCTGATTGGTTGCTCTCAGAGAGCGCTTGCCTTCGATTGGCTGGTGTAAAGGGCGGCGGTGCGGTTTACCATACGGGCGGGAGATTTGAATACTCATTTTCTGTGTTTCTGGCTGCGTGGGCAGGACTCAGGTCAGCGTTTCCAATCCGCATATCTTCCCCACTGTGTAATTCCTTTATTTTCTATATAATAGTGCTTTACCGGTACTACCACCATAAAGAATATATTCCAAGCACTGTACTCTTAGTTTGGGAGCTCCAATACCCTCATTTTGTAGTTGGAGAAACCTTGCTGACTCCTAGCTCTGGGTCCAGCCACCACTCCGGGCTAGAGACGGCGTCCGCCTAGGGGCGGGCCCGGGGCTCGGGGCCCGGCGCCTGCTCTACCTCCTCCTCAGCTGTCCGGGCTGCGACAACCCAGGAATCTCTCGTGCCTCTTCCCTGCAGCGCCGGGTCTGCGGCTTAGTAGTCCCGAGCCGGCCTACGGCTGCGAGGACCTAGAGGCATCGTTCAGCCCAACCCCACTGTAAACCTGGTGGCTCCGACCCAACAGTAGCTGTGTGGCCCGCGGTGACCCAGCCTGCTGCACGGCCAGGGCTAGATGCCGTTGTCCTGACTCCCAGCTTGGGGTTTTGGTCGCCGTCTCCTGCTTGGTGTCCGGCGTCTTCATGATAGATTGAGATGTCCGAGCATCTGGCCCTACGGTTCCCAGGCCCTATCCGTGTGTCTCCAGCGCTGGGAGGTGGGGGAAACGGAGGAACTTGCGCCTGCGCAGAGCCTTCGGGCGCTGCTGCTTCACTGCGGAACCCGCCCCCTTTGCTCTAGGGACGCGTCACCGGTTACCATGGAGACCGCGCTGTTTACCTCCCAGTTCTGCAAGAGCTCCGGACTCCCGTGGGAAGGAGGCTCCCCTCCTGAGCTTGTGTAGTAGTTCTTTGTGGCGCAGAGGTAAGTAAACCCCGGCCCCACGCCACCAACTCTTAACTGCCCTACCCAAAGCCTTGTGCCCGTTGGGATCAGCCCTAATTTAGGTCTAATTCCGACCTAATTTAGCCCTGACTTCGATTTCTCTGGAGGCTACTCAGACTTATCCAGGATTCTTGGGTTGAATTTTGAGCTCTACACTCAGACAAATTTGAAAGAGGCCATAGGAGGGAATGAAGTAGGAGACCCCATGTTGTCTAAGGCGGCTGGCAGCCTGGAGTGCTCAGCCTTGTTAGGATCGGACGCCAGTTCCATCTTTGGATGTTTGAAGGACTTCAGAGATCCAGAGGCTTTTTAGGGCAGAAGCTCAGACTTTTGGGAGGGATGTGGGTGGGGGCCGATTTCAGCCCTCTCTGAGAAAGGCAGTTCTCACTGTCAGACAGAGCTGTGTGCCCAGGAGGTAGGGAAATTTTAGTCTTTCTGTTCTGCTGGCCTCTGCCTGCTGCCTTCTTATGTGTTCTCCTTCCTGTTCTCTCCTTTTCCTTGTCCTAGGAAGGTGTTGTTTCTTTTATCTGCTGAATAGGCTCAATACCCAAGTGTCTGTTTATAGATGTCACATTTGTTCGGTTTTTAAGAAAACGTGTCTAGGTTCATCTGTTTGGCAGTATCAACTAAAACCAAACACTGTTGTATGACCCAGCAGTTCTGATGAGGCATAAATATGCATGCATGTGTTCACCAAATGACGCATATGAGAATATTCATAGCATTCTCGTGATAGCCCCAAAAGGAAAGAACCCAAATATCCATAAACCGTAGAAAGATAGATAAACTTCGGTATATTCATACAAGAGTAGGCCACACAGCAATGGGAATGAACAAACTAGAATTATATGAACAATACGGATGAATCTTACAAATGTTGAGTGAAAGAAGTCAGATACGAAAGAGTACGTACTGTATGATCTCCTTTATATGAAGTTGAAAAACAGTAAAACTAATTTATAGCATTAAAAGTCAGCATAGTGGTTACGCTGTGGGGGTGGGGGTGGAGAATAGTGACTGGGGAGAAGCACGAGGTGCTGATGATGCTTATTTCTTGATCTGGGTGCTGGCTACACAGATGTGTTCATTTTGTGTCCAAATGATGATTTATGCACTTTTCGATGTGTATGTCACACTTTAATAAAAATCAACATTTAAAAAAGGACAAAATGGCTTTCAGTGAATCTAAAAAAAGTCTGCCTTTAATCAGGGCTTTGGAAACCTCAAATGGCGAGATTGCTACAGCATCCACCCAAGTTCCTGCCCTCAGAGTGGCACATTGCCAACAAGAACCAGTGCCACAAAGCAGAGGCCCAAAGGTCCCGGTCTGAGCGCCTGGTGGCTGAAAGCCAGAGGCTTGTGGATGAAATTGAAAAGACCACAAGAAAATCTCAAAGTGATGTGAACAAGAAACTAGGTAAGATGACACACTTTGTGTATGTGTGGCGTATTTGGATGAGACTGTTGGGATTTAGTTATACTGTCATCTGCATTTCATGTTTGGGAGTGGCAATGTATTTTTCTTGCACTATTAGGGGCATGCATACTCTCCAGGTTCTATGTTTAAGTTCACTGCCCTAAGATAGAGACATGGAAACCAGCCTGATTTTCAGCCACCCATCATTCGTTATTTTACTGATTTGATACACATTTATTGAGCATCTAAGAACATCCATGGACTAAGCGCTGAGAATATCACAGCGAAGGATCAGAGTCTCTGCTTTTTAGGGGCTTCTGGCTTGAGGAGGAGAAACACAAAAATTGATAATCAGAGTATGACCAGTTAGGTGCTGGGGTAAGGGGGACAAAAGTGGAAGAGAGGTGGGCACTGGACATGGAAAAATTTCCTAGAGAGGAACATTTGAGCTGAGTTTTAAAAGAAGAGTAAATTTCTCTTGACAATTCCATTCTTAAAAATACAATTTCAAGGGAGTGGTGGGGACCGTGGGACCCCGAGATCATGTGCTCCATCGAAGGAGGCAGCTGATATTCAACTTCGACCTGTTTTCTCTAAGAAGGAATACGGGCCCAGCATTGCCTGATTGTCTAATTTTTTTAAAGGAAATCTGAAAAGCTGGAATTTTACCCACTTTTTAAATGTTTGGAACTGATTTAATGTATTTATAACACTGGGCAGGATGAACAAACACGTCTGTGGATAAAACCTGGTCTAAGGGCTGCTACTTTTTCAATCTCCAATAAATCAAAGCTTCGTTCAGGCCTGCAAGGTCAGATGTTAGGTTTCTCCTGATGTGTTGATCCTGGCCCCTGGTACCAGCCTACAGTCAGCCTTGTTCTAAATAATTGTGCAAATCGGTAGGTGTTAGAAATGAGGATGCACCGTTCATTTTTCAAAATAATTGTGTTTCAATAGGCGTGAAAACAGTTTTCAAGGTCTTAACCTTACTTACCTTCTTTGATTCGTTGATTCATTTAAAAAGTTAGCCATGTATAATGGCATTAAAAAACATCAAATACCTAGGAATAAATGTAGCAAAAGATATGCAAAAGTTCCACACTGAAAACTATAAACTGTTATTGAAGGAAGTTAAAGAAATTCTAAATCAATGCAGGGTTATATCAGTTAATGGATTGGAAGACTCCGTATTTTAAAGATGTCAGTTCTCCTCAAATTTATCTGTAGATTCAATGCAATGCCAATGAAAATCTCAGCAAAGTTTTTGGTGAAATTGGAAAACTACTAAAATTCATATGGAAACGCTGAGAGTCAAGAATGGACATAGCTGTGTTGAAGAACAAAGCTGGGAAACCTTCACTGTAGACTCTAAGACCTAGTATAAAGCGACAGTAATTAAGACAGTGAGGTAGGGGCAAGGATAGACAGTCACTGACCAATGGAACATAACAGGGTCCACCAGCAAGCCCACATGTACACGTTCATCTGATTTATGACAAAAGCAATACTGCGCTGTAGTGGGCAAAGGATGGCTTCTCCGATAAATTGGTCAATTGCATATTCATATGGAAAAAATTATATCCTGACGCCTATCTCATATATATATAAAAATCAAATCTAGGTGGAGTGCATGGCTAAGTGGGAAAGGTAAAACAATAAAACTTTTAGTGGAGTACATTCTTTATGGCGTGGAGAAGGCAAAGCTTTCGTATTCTGTTTTTTTTTTTTTTTTTGTGAGGAAGAGTGTCATTGAACTAACATCTGTGCCCATCTTCCTCTATTTTTTTTTTTTTATGTGGGATGCTGCCCCAGCGTGGCTTGATGAGCAGTGCTAGGTCTGCGCCCAGCATCCAAGCCTGTGAACCCCAGGCTGCCCGAGCAGAGCACATCAACTTAACCATTATGCCACCGGACTGGCCCCCAAGATTTCTTATTCTTAAGCAGGACACAAAAGAACCAATCATAAAAGAAAAAAATAATAAATTGCACTATATTAAAATGAAGAACTTTGTTTATCAAAAGGACTCCATTAAGAGATCGAAAAAGCAACCCACACAGTGGGAGAAGATAGTCATAATATACATATCTGACAAAAGATTGCATCCAGAATATATAAAGAACTTCTAAAAATAAAGAAGAAAAAGGCAGACAACTCGATAGAAAAATAGGTAAGAAATTTGATAGATACCTTGCGAGGAAGGAAATCTAAACAGCCAATGAACATGTGAAGAAGTGCTCTAACTTCGTCAGTCAGCAGGCACATACACATTAAAGTCACGGCTGAGATGCTGTTACACACCCACCAGAATGACTAAAAGGGAGAAGACGGAGAAGGAGGTGGGGGGGGGAGAAAGGGAGGGGAGGGGGAGGAGAACAAGAGGGAAAAAAGAAGAAGAAAAAGAAAACTACCAAGTAGTGGAGAGGACGTGGAGCAACTGGAACTCTGGTACCCACTGGTGGAAGTATGGACTGGTGTAACTGCTTTGGAAAGCTTTGGCAGTATCTGCTAAAGCTGGACGTATGCATACGCTGTGACCTAGATCTTCCACTTGTAGCTATATACCCAACAGAAATTCATACACATGTTTGCCAAAGATATATGCTGCCATCGTCAAAGTGGTGCTCTTTGTAACAGCCCCAAGCTGGAAACTCTCCACATGCTCATCCACGGTAGAATGGATAAACGGCGTTATACCATATGGCAAAGAGAATGACTCATCTACAACTACATGCAGCAATATAGATGAATCTTACAAACTTACTATTGAGTAAAATAAACCAGATACAAATGAGTACACACCATATTATCTGATTTACATAAAGCAAGGAGAGAAAACAGGAAAAATCAATCTATATTGTTGGATGTCAGCACTGATATATGGGAGGAGATAGGAACTGGAAGGGGTCATGAGAGGCCTCCTGGGGTCCTGGTTAATGTTCTCTTTCTTGAATCGGTTATTGGTTACATGGGTGTGTTCACTGTGAAAACTTATTGATTGTACACTTCTATGTGTGTTTTTCTGTAGGTTTATGATCTTCAATAAAAAGTTAAAATAACTTGCAAGTTCCTGTGCTGGTGCTGAGTACAGACATATCAGACTGTGTCTGCCCTTGATACCTTGCAGTCTGGGTACCCGATACCCAGGACATGGTGGGATCTATTCCACATGAGTGGCATGAATGGAGCAGTGTTAGATTAGAGGAGAGAGCAATCACTTCCAGTTGGTCTCGTCCAATGACTACCCAATTGCCCCATCCATTGGTCACTCAGTCTTCATCTGACTTGATCGCTCTACAATGCTGGATATTTTTGGAATTCCGTGACACAAGTCTCTCCTGGTTCATTTCCTTTCTTTCTGGCTATTTCTTCCTCTTCTACATTGTTGATTCTTCTTTTTTCTATTCATCCCCTATTGGTATTTCCTAGTGTTTTGTTCTTGGCACCCTGAGCTTTTTCTTCTCTTCCCTCTATACTTTCTTTCTTGATGACCTCTCTAGAAATTTTATTACTATCCCTATCCTATTTGTGCTATTGTTTTGCAACGAGAAATCTTTGGCTCTAACTTCTCATCAGAGCTTCTTATGGAAGTGGAGGACTACTTGTCATATATTTCCACCTAGATGTCCTTCACACACTTCAAAATAAATATATCCCAAAATGAACTCATTACTTTCCTGAAAAATTTACTTCTATAGTTCCTTATCCTGGTTAATGGGACCAGGATTTATTCACTCAACAAATATTTATTCAACAAATATGTCTGACTGTGCTAGATGCTTAGGATTATAAAGCTGAAGAAGGCAGACACAATCTAGCAAATGAGAGAGACAAAATACAAATAAAAAGACAAGTAATAAAATTATTCCAAATTATTATATTGGACCCAATGTCAGTAAATATGAAGAGAAGAGGGAAAATTTGAATCACATTTTGGGGACAGGATCAACAGAACTTACTGAAGGATTGGGGATGGGCGATGGAGGTGTTGGCAGGGCCATGCTCTCTCTGAAGGCTCTCGTGGGAGAATCTGTTCCATGCCTTTCTCTTAGTTTCTGGTGTGGCTGGCAAATTTTTGTGCTCTTTGACTTATAGATATGTCACTCTAATCTCTACCTTAATTGTCACATAACATTCTCCCTGTGTGTCTCTGCATCTTCACACGGTGTTCTCCTTTCTGTGTCTTCTGTTTTCTCTTCTTATAAGGACTCCACTCACAATGGGTTAGGACCCACCCTAATCAAGTATGACTTCTTCTTAATTTGATTACTTCTGCAAAGACCCTATTTCCAAGTAAGGTCATATTCACAAGGTACCATGGGTTAGGACTTCAAAATATCTTTTTGGGGGACACAATTCAACCCATAACGGTCTTCTGTGGTCTACAAATTAAAGAGTCCTTCATGTGGCACTGAAGAAGCTGAACGTACCTCCCTACCCTTCTACATCTTTCAACTCTAATGGAGAGATCTTTCTCAAGGCCTCAAGTCTGAAGACCATATCAAACAGCTCCCCAATTCTGAAGCCTTGTTGACCTCCCCCAGCTTCCTTCCTTTGAGCCACCACTGTATTTCTTACACAGTTTCTAGTGTAGAATTGCCACATTGAATTGAAATTATCTGTTTACCTGTCTGCTCTACAGACTGTGAGTAGCGCAGAGGCTGTGACTTACCAATGTATCTCCTGGACCTCATCAGTGCCTGGCACATTGTACGAGCTCAATGATAAGTATATTGGATTATATTGTAGCATTTATGGTGAATGGCTAGATGTCCAAGCTGATGTACCGAGCACATGAGGGAGAACAGCAGGATGGAGATAAGAGGGAGGTGAGGCTGGACCAAGCCTGAGGGAGCCCTTGAATTTGGACGGTTTAGCTCAGTAGGTAGCCAGTTAGAATTCAGGAGGTAGAGACTGAAATCTGGGAGTCATCAATAATGATAGTAATAGAAGCCAAGGATGTAGATTAAATTACCCAAGGAATATATTGAAAGAGAAGAGAAGAGGGCATGGGATAAGGGGAGCAAGAGAGGAGCTGGGGAACAAAAGCTCAGGCAGATGAACAGAAAGATGAGACGAGGGTCATGGAAGCAAAAGGTGACGGTTTCATGGGTGAGGAAGTCTTCTGTTGTATCAGTGGTTGCACAAATGTCAAGGAGGCTGAGAGCTGAGCAAGAATGTATTTGAACTGGTGGCTTGAAGATTATTGGTGACCATTGAGATAGCAGGTCCAGTAGGGTAGTGGAGGATGCGAGGTGAGGGTGGAAGTCAGTTACAAAGTGTGAGGGGGGTTACTTCACACTTTGAATGCTGCATTTGTCTTCCCTTCCTTTAAAAATTGCAACAAAGTCGTATTAAAGGATTAATGAAAAGTATGCCTCAAGGATGGCAGGGTGGGGAGGGAGAAGAAGGGGAGGCAACAGTAGACAAATGCTCAAGACAAGATATTGAAAGCTAGGAAGCCAAAGGTCCAGCGGTGGCACACTCAGGGACTGCAGAAGGCCTGGATGGGTGGAGGACAATGAGAAGCTAGCTGCTTCATGCTACACGTTCATGCTGCAGAAACCTGGAAATGCTCAAAATTGGAAGCATCCAATGACCTCTGAAGCTGGAGGTTCAGGATAGAAGTTGAAACAAGATTGGTTGAAAGTCTTTGTAAAGAGCCCTTCCCCGCTCTGGCTCTCCCCAACCCCAGCGGAAGGCTAACGGTGAAGGGATTGGGTGAAAGTCTACTTACTAAACTGTAATTTTCCAGTCCCTGGTTCCCAGGACACTCGTAGCCAGGTGTATATCCTCGGAGAGGAGATTAGAAGATTTCTCCACGGGGAAACTAATGGGTCTGAAAGGGAAGATCTGTGGATGCTAACATTTGGGGATCCTCCAGGAAAGTGCCCAGGCCCTGCCTGATCACGATAAGGCATTCTGGTTGACAAGCGTGTCCTTGCAGACAGAGAGTCCACTTAGCATTTGAGCATTTTATCTTAAATATGACCATATGGGGATCACCAAACATCTGAGGAAAGGCTCTAATATGACAGACACCAAAACAAACAAACAAGCAATCAAATACACTGAGACTAAAGAAACAGACAGAACACAGAGCAAAAGGAAAAATCCCCTGTGAGACCCTCAGGGGGCTTAGAGAAGACGCCATGTCCATGGAACAAGAAGGATCTTAAAGAAGAGAACATTCGGAGAACAAGAAAGTGTTCCTGGGAATTAAAAACATGAGAGCAGAACATTGTTAAAAATCAAAAGAAAGGTTGAAAGATAAAGTTGAAGAATCTCCAAGAAGTAGGAAAAAAAAAAAAAAGACGAAGAAATAGATAGATAACAGGAGAGAAATGATAAAAGAATTCGAGGATCCATCTGGCCTCAATGTCTAATAGGAGTTCCGGAAAGAGCACAGAGAAAATGGAGCAGAGGAAATCGTCCACAGAAGAAGATAATAAAATTTCATAGAACCCAAAGAGCTAAGTTTTTACATTAAAAGGGCATGCCTAGTGTCTGGCATAATAATTGAATAAGGTTGACACCAGCGTGAAATTTCACAACACTAGGAAAATAGAGAAGAAATTCCTAAAAGCTTTTCAGGTCTTATATGCAGAATCAGGAGTGAGAATGGCATCAGACTTCTCAACAGAAACTCTGGAAACTGGAAGGAAATGAAGCAATGCCATCAAAATTCTAAATGAAAATTATTTACAACCTGCAAATCTATACTCAAATATAATCAGTTGGTGAGGGTAGAGTAAAAGCATTTTCGGACTTGCAAGTTTTCAAATGCATCCATTTCTTAGGAAGCTCCTGAAGGATGTGCTTCAGCACATTGAAGGAGTAAACCAAGAAAGACGAAGGAATGGAATCCAGGAAATAGAATGCTGACCCATGAGAAGGGTGAAGGGAGTTCCTAGATTGATGGTGAAGCAGGGTCAAAGAATGAAAGAGAACCACACGGCCAACTGGACAGCCACCCACCCAGGATGGAGCAGGAGGACACAGAGCTCGGGAAGAGAGACTCTAGGAAAGACACAAAATCAACAGGGACTTGGTGGGTGTGAATATATCGAGAGGATGTTTATAGTTCTGTCAGAAAGTTTGAAGAAAAACTAATAATAAATATACAGAAAGTGAATCAAAACTACAATTATTAACCCCTCCCAAACCCAAAAAGTTGTACAAGAAAAGAAATCTATCACAGCATATTACGTGGTTCAGGTTTAAGTAACATTTACATATTTAGGATAATATAAACAGCATGAAATTATTATTTAACACCATGGGGATATGACTACATTGGGAAGATGGAAGAAGCAGAAGCATGTTGTGTAAGTTGTGTGAGAGCAAATCCTTATCTTTCATCCCAGGAAATCAATAGATAATATTAAAACTGATAATGAATAAGTAGCTGGGTAAGCAAATGTCAGAAGAAATACTAAAAGTGTTTAAAAAGTAGTTGCTTCCAGAAAGTGGGCATGGGTAGGGGCGGGCCAGAGAATTGTTTTCAAACAGTATACATTTATATCTTTGATAAAATTAGAAGTTATTTAAAACAGTGGGGATTGAAGGATTAGAGTCAAGTGTGGAATGGCCTTTGGGTTAATTTGAGGTTGAATGTAAGAAGAAATATCTTCCTTCCCTTCCTCCCTCGGTCCCTTCCTCCCTTCCTGCCAGGAAACACTCACGAAGGTGAAGTGCTGCCCCCAGTAGCACAGCCCTGAGAGGAGAAGAGCGCATCTCAGGTACTTTTACAAACGTTGGCTGCCTTGGGAGTAGATTAACCTTGGTGTGACTTCTCGTGTGCTTCAGAGCAGAGACTCGAGGAAATCAGATTCTGGAAGAAGGAGTTAGATGACAAACTTGAGCAGCTTGTGTTTGCGACCGAAGATCTACTCATCTATCAGACCCGATTGGAGAAAGCCCTGGAGAGCCTGAAGGAGCCCTTGCACATCACTCAGACGTGCCTGGAGTACAGGTGGGCAGGAGGGTTCCTCTAATGGATCATCTGCTGTGAGAAATGAAGTGCTGGGTAGGGAGCTGACTGTGCTAGGTCATGGGTTAGAACGAGGCAAATGAGGATGTGTTCTTTCAGAGCCTGACATTATCTTGGCATGCCCATGGTGCTGGGCAGTGGAAGGAGCACTGGACTAGGTTCATGTCTAAACTCTGCTCTTGACTAACTTAAATATAAGTTAAGACTACGTTTGCCTATGGGTAATTGGAAAACCGCAAAATAACATTGAACTTGAATAAGATATTTTATTTCTCACATTTAAGGAGTCTGGAGATAGTCAGTTTAGGGTTGGCATGGTGTGCCACAGTGCCAGTGCCACAGTGTCAAGTTTTCTATCTTGTGACTCCACTCCACTTGGCTTTCACTCCTGAGTTTACCTCATGATTCAATGTGGCAGCTGGAGCACCAGCCATTATGTCTACATTCCAGCAAGTAAGAATAATTAGGATTGGCGTTCACCATTTCCACTTGCATCTCATTGACCAGAACCTAGTCACAAGGCCACACCAATATAAACTGGGAAATGGTAGTCTTTATTTTGGGCAGGCAGAGTGGATAGAGTTACTAGAGGACAAATCTGCTCCAATACCCAGAGCTACACAGAAGCACTTTGTATTCCGGAGAACACTGCAAAAGCATCCCTTTTTATTATCATTTCTCTCCTCTGAGGCCCGTGAGTGGGATGGTCCTCTCTGGGGTAGTACTGATTTCCAGACCTGTTCCCGGTCACGGCCCTGGCTGCTGTGCCCTAACAGGTCTTCTTGCTGCCGGCAGAGGCCCCGCCAATCCAGTGCATCCTCTGCACTGGCTGTTGAGTGCACTTTTCCAAATGCAGATTTGTACAGCTCATCCCTGTGCTCAAAATCCTTCATTTACAACCCCACGCCCTGATCCCTTCAAAATAAAGTTCAAACTTCTCAGCCTAGAGAACAAAGTTGGTCACGCCTGGGCCCCCAGGGACCTCTCCAGGCCCGTGTCCCATGCCCAGCAGTGGGGATGTGCTAACGTGTACTGAGCTACTCGAAGTTTCCCCAGTGCCCCAAGGCTCCATCTGCACTGTTCCCTCCTGGAAAGCCCTGTGCCCTCAGTGGGCTTAGCCAGGACCCCCTGCAGCCAGCAGGAGCAGCCTCCCCTGCTGGATGCAGAGTCTGTGATGCAAAGGCAGAGCAGGTGGCCAGGGGCCAGCATCCACTTGGCTCAGGTTTGCCCTAAGGGTGGTTAGGGTGTCGATGTTGCTAAGTTGGTTGAGTATGTGCTTCTGCGTGCTGGGTACCGTGCTGTCTGCTTTCATAGCTCATCTGTTCCTCGCCACGACCCTACGAAGTGCTAATACAGTCATGCATCATTTAGTGACGGGAAGACGTTCTAAGGAATGTATTGTTAGGCGATTTTGTCATGTGTGAATATCATAGAGTGTCCTTACACAAACCTGGGTGGTCTAGCCTACTACACACGGAGTCTGTATGGTCCTCATCTCATGGGACCATCGTATACACGGTCTGTTGTTGGCCAAAACATCGTTATGCAGCACGTGACTGTAGATCGCTCCATTTCACAAAAGAGGAAACTGAGGCACAGATAAGTTATATAGCGTGCCTAAGGCCACACAGCTGGTGTGTGGTGGAGCCTTCCTCTCTAGCACTGCCATGCTGGGTGGAAAAGGACAAAGATCGGCAGTGACTGGGCAATGTGGGCAGTAACATAGCATAGAGGTTAAAAGCACGTGTACCCCCAGTTCTGTGATGTTGGGTCCTTTACTCAGCCTCTCTGAAGCTCAGTTTCCTCTCCTGAATTCTAGAGGGTTAAGTGTGAATATCACCAGAAAAGCTCAGCACAGTGCCTGTCACACGGTGCGCGCTCGGGGTGAGTAACGTTAATGTTGGCATGATTATTATTGTAAATCTAATAATATCATAGTATGTATGATAATATAAGTCCTTGTCAAAAAACAGGACTAGGATCAAGGAGGAAACATATGTCTAAAATTCTAAGTCAAAAGACCATGTTTCCAATAAGTAGGTAAGAAGGAAAAGGCTTCAGGACTGATGGCCAAGTTGAGGGAAAAAGTCCACCGGGTATTTTTCAGAGCAAGGACCAGGTACTGGTCAGTGTTTCTCCGTTGTGTTTTAAAGTCACATAGACGCTGAGTAAGGTACATCCCCCACCACGTTGTCCGGATGGCTGAGGCGCTGCTCAAGCCACTTGTCCAGAGAGTTCTAGATGCCCAGATGTTAGCACGTGTCGAGTTGCACGTGTTGGATGACCTTTCTGTCGGTCAGGGAGAAGCGAGTGGGCATTGACTTGGTGCACGATGAGGTGGAGCAGGAACTGATAAAGGAGGCCGACGTCATCCAGGGGGTGATGGCCCTGCTGACCCGCACCTTGGAGGAGACGACCGAGCAGATCAGGTACGGCTGTGCCGGGCCTGCCCTCCGCCTCTCCGCTGGGCACATCTAGAAAGGGCCGGGCCCATGGCACCCAAAGAATGGGCTTTAACCTCCTACCAGTGCCTTCCACGCTCCGAGGTGGCCCCGGGAACACTCAGAGTTGAGACCCGGACAACCTCTCCTCCATGACAGCCGCCCCCTGGTGGTGGGTGGGGATGGAGTCACCCTGATCATAAACTGGAGGACACTGGAGCTGCTTCCTGCTAGGGCTGACCTCTCACATACAGTATGTCACAGCGGTGACATCAGAAAATGTCACATTTGGAGGGAGGGACTTGAAGTCCAGGCTTGGTTCCAGGACTCTGTCACCAGGTATCTAACGGTATGTGTGTGTTGGGGGATGGGAGGTGGGGAGGAAGGGCCGACATCCTGTACTAGACCTGGCTGTAGCTTCATTTTCCAGGGTCTCCCGAGAACTTGTAGGTGCCATCTGGGCATTCCAGAGGGAGAAACCTGTACCTTCTCCCTTCAGGCTGAACCGCTCTGCCAAGTACAATCTTGAAAAGGATCTGAAGGACAAGTTTGTGGCCCTGACCATCGACGACATCTGCTTCGCACTCAACAACAACTCGCCAAATATCCGATATTCTGAGAACGTCATGCGGGTTGAGCCAAAGTGAGTGTGTCCCTGACTGCGGCTGGCTGTGCCGTCTGGCTCCCTGAAGCGTGATGTCCCAGTGCTTCTCGGGCGGACAGGCAGGACCCTGACAGGAGGCCGGGAGCTGGGAAGAGGCAGGCCTGGGGCAAAGGCATGTGCTGAGCGGTGTCTGCCTTGACACAGGGCTCCGAGGTGGCTCGGTCCTCCAGGTTAGGCCCCACTTTAAGAAGGTCTGATATAAAATCTTTAAATACTTAAAATTTGTCTCTTTACCTATTCATGTTTTTAATAAGTATTCTAAAAATAGATAAAGGCCAATTTAGTCAGTTCCCCCATCAACGCTTCCCGTGATTAACCTCCTGAGATGACCAGTGTTATCTGGATGCTCATACAAACGTGTGTATACACTCACACACACCTATTTTATTTTGTTTACAAAAATGAGATTATACTATATATCTTTTCTGTAATATATAACTTATATTTTTCAATTAACGTTACATCACAGACCTAACTCATTCTAAGTTTTAAAATGTTTTTTTTTGAAGTAAAACATGCATATAGAAAAGTGCACCAATACTAATAAACGTAGATTAATGAATTATCATTGTTTTAGTTATCTTTTGCTGTTTCACAAGTTACCCCCACACTTAGCAGCTTAAAGCAATAAACATGCATTATCTCACAGTTTCCGCGGGTTGGGAACCCGGGCACTGCTCAGCCGGTGCCTGGAGCTCGCGTCTCATGAGGTCATAGTTGAGCTTTCTGCTGGGGCTGCAGTCTCACTTGAAGGCTTGGCTGGGGTCTGGGTGGGCCTCCACTGCCAAGCTGATGGGTGGTCATGGCAGGGCTTGCCCATGTGAGCCTCTCCACGGGCTGCCTCATGGCATGGCAGCTGGCTTCTCCCACATCAAGCGATCCAAGAGAAAGCAAGAGAGAGAGAGTGCCCCAAGACAGAGGCCACCATCTTCTTTCAACCTGATCCCAGAAATGACAGCTCATTACTTCTATGTGTGAGAAATGAGTCAAAATGAGTTCATGACAGCACTCAGCGGGAGCGGGTTACACAACAGTGTGAATACAGCAGGCAGGAGTCACTGGGGGCCGCCCCAGAGGCTGCCTCTAATCACACGGTGAACCATCCCCATGTAACCGCCAACCAGGTCGAGAAATGAAACATTACCGCTAACACAGAGACCCCTGCCCTGTCCTGCTCTCCATCAGTAGCCCCGCCCTCCTCCCCTGAGATAACCGCATTCCTGACTCCTAATAGGTTGGTTTTACCTGCTTTCGTGTTTAGTCCACAGCGTCATGTACTGTCTATTTTGTGTGTGTGTCAGTTTTCTTCCAATCAACATTATTTTGAGATTCATCAGTGTTACATAAAGCAGCTGCTTGTCAAACTGGCAATTTATTCCTTTATTTATTTATGTCAGTATGGACGCGCGGTTTCCTATTTTATTCAATGTGTTACAATTTGTTACTATTGTTATATATTTTGATACTCAAACTGTCACTACTTGTGTGATGTTAACCAAGTTGCTCCATCTTTCTGAGCCTCAGTTTTCCTCATCTCTAAAATGGGGGTTATGAGCATTAGCTCACTAGGCCGTCGTGAGGATTAAATGAGATAATGTCTGTGAAGTGCCAGCCCAGTGCCTGGCACAGAGCAGGCAGGTTTCCCCAAAGCGACAGCCATGGCCCCTGACAGACCACTGTTCACTCTGTCTAGAGATGGGGAAATGGTCTAGGTGCTTCTGACGGTGGAGGTAGCCTTAGCTTCCAGTGGGTTTCCAGGAGCCTGTCCCCTCCCCACACCGTCTTTCCCCGCCCGAGTATGCTGTGACTGAATGCACGGCTTCTGTTTCAGCTCTGTGAGTCTGGAAGACTGGCTGGACTTCTCCAACACCAACGTGGAGAAGGCTGACAAGCAGAGGAACAGCTCCCTGCTGCTGAAAGTGCTGGTGGACCGAGTCCTGTCACAGACGGCCAGCGACCTGCACAAGCAGTGTGATGTGGTGGACACGGCCTTCAGGAACGGGCTGAAGGAGACCAAGGGTGCTAGGGACAAGCTGGCTGATCATCTGGCCAAGGTGAGCTCCCTGGAGGGAACGAGGAAGAGGACGTTCAGAGTGGACGTCTTCACCAGGAGACCTGGAAGGCCCTCCGGGCCGGGCAGCTGCCTCTGGGCTGTGATCGCGGGTAGCTAAGGGGTGAAGGTCCTTCCCATCTCTCCATCTTAGCTGCTGTCTTTGGGCTTTGGGGACTAGAGTGGGACTTGATCCTATTCTGGGTCTCCTTTGTCGCTCATTGCTGCAAGGACAGGCTGTCCCCTCACTCTGGGCCTCAGATCCTCTTTATGTGAAATATGGAGACAGACTATACGGTTTTAGACATCCTTTATGACTCAAGTTCTGTGAGTTGAAAGCAACCAATTTGTCCAAACCCAGCTGCAACTTTGGGATTCTGGCGGGTTGTCCCTCCTGGTTATGTGGTGTGCTGGTAAACTGGCTCTTAGGAAAAACCAAAAGGCCCTGATTTGTAGAATTTACAGATTTTCGTGGTGTAAATACTTCCACCATGGTCACTTTCAAGCTACCCGTTTAACGATGGTCTGGAGAAATTCCTGAATATTTAACAGCCAGAGCCCACATGAGCCAGCTCCGGCACCCCTCCGTCACCAGCAGGGACCCTGGGTCCTGAGCGTGTAGGACCACCCCACAGGCCGAGCTCAGGGACACTGAGAAGGAGAGTCTAGAGGAACAAGTGCTGGATTTGGCCTGAAGATAGGCGGGTCTGAATCCCAGCCCTGTGACAGATCAGCTGAGTGCCTAAGCAGCTCCCTCGAGCTCTCTGAGCCTCATGCCTCACCTGTAGCGTTGGCACAGTAACAGCTGCCTGACGGGGCCCGCTGTTAGCCCACCCCTTGCATTTTACTGATGGTGAAACTGAGACACAGAGAGCAGAGGGTTCCCCAGCGGGCAGCGCTGGCAGCCTGGGACCAGAGCCCAGGCCTGCTCAGCTCCCAGAGCCCTGTTGTCCTGCTGGTGCATGCGCACCTCGCTCTCCTGGAGCCCGGAGTCCGGTCGTAAGACAAGGTTTACCGGCACGATGAGCAGGACAAAGCAGAAGGTAGTCATGGGTCACACTGCAATGTTCAGTGAAACGATCGGTGGATGAACCTTGAGGGTGAGCGTGTAGACTCCAGTGTAGACAGCCCTGGTTTGAACTGGGCTTCAACACTCGCGTGTGATCTCGGGGAGCTTACCTAATGTTCTGTGTTCTTTTATGAGATAGTCAGGTGCAGCTGTAGGAGGAGACAGAGAGGAGGCCCAGGAGAGAACAAAATTTCTTATACTCACAGATCCTAGGACAGGAGGCAAGGCTCACTGTGCAGGGCCACGTGGGAAAGACACTAAGGTGGTCAGGAGGCGGATGACAGGAGTGAGGGGAAGGATTGGGCCATGGCTCTTCCTGGGGTTTCCTCAGGACACGCACGGCAGGGCAGGGGGAACAGTTTAAGACCCGCTAGTTTGAACCATTTCAGTGGGCTTTGGGCTATAGAGCGGTCCCTAGTTGCTGGATACCTGGCCCTGAGATGACGGCGGAAGAATGTCGCCACCTGGGGTGTAAGGGCCAGACAGAGCAGGTCCGGTTCTGGACTGGTTAGTCTGCGTATCAAAGGCATGCTCAGGCTGGGTCCTCCGCCATCTCTAAGCATTGGCTAGCCCAGGGAGGCACAGTCTCTCCACCTAAAAAGGTTTTTAAGGTGTCAAAACATCATAATATACAGAAAATATAAAATATTTACAATATACTTAAGCTTCCTGTTTCTTGGTTTCCTCATGGATAAAACAGGGACAGCAACAGTGCTCACCTCCCAGGGTTGGCCAGGCGATAATTAGACAACCCAGATCAAAGACCTGGAACAATGCCTGGCACATCTCAGTTTTATGTATACACACGCACACATAGATATAATTTGTCTATATATAATCAGTATAATATATAATCAGTAAAAATTGGCTAATGAATAACAATGATAATAATAAAGGTAGCCAAAGAATATTCCAGAGGCTTCCTGGTGGAGTGAGAACTTAGTCTGGGCCTGGAAGGACGGATCTGAGATGCGAAGGCAGAGGGGAGGAGAGACCGCTGTCAGAGGCCAGAAGCTGGTTTCTGCCGGAGCCTGGGAGAAGCCCAGTCCTGCTGGAGGAGGGGCCCCTGCAGGAGCCAGGAGCCGTCCGGCTGAGGGCTTGGAAGCGCCGTCTAAAGTGAACATCCAAGATGGTCTGGACTGGCGGGAATGATAGACTAAAACAAATTGGGTGAGATCCAACAGGGACAAAAGTGAAGTCTTTCACAGGGGTCTAAAAAAATCAATGATACCGGCACAGAATGGCTTAGGGGCAGCAATATGAGTGAAAAGATTTTAGTGGAAAGGAAATTTGGAAGAAACCGTCCATTGGATGTGGAAGGTAACTAGAACCTGAGAGTCGATGGTCCTCTTCTCTGTGGTGGTGAGGCCCTACACGAGAGTGATGGCCACGTGTACCGAGTGCCAGGCCCAGTGCTGGGTGTGCCATGTATATGCCTCTATGCCTTAGCAACCCTGAAATGGGTAGATAGCGTTATCATCCCCATTTCAAAGATGAGGAAACTGAGACTGAGGAAGGTTAGCTACTTGGTCAAGGCCTTGTGACTAACAGGTGGCAGAGTTGGGTGTTGAGACCAGGTCTGTCTGACTCCTGAGCTTGCACCTGTCGCTCCCCAACACATTGTGGTGGAAACGCAGAGACCGTGTCCCCTTCTGGCCTCATACCGCAGGAGGGACCAGGTGGCCTCAAGAGCACATCCAGGGGGCAGCCTGTGGAAGGAGGGGCGTGGGGCAGGGGCTTTGCAACTGAGAGAACCAAGACTAGGGCAGCGTTGTCCAGGAGGAATATGATGCAAGCCACACGTGTCAGTTTAAATTTTCTAATAGCCACTTCAAAAAGTAAAAAGTAGTAGGTGGAATGAACTGTTACATGTTTTATTTAACCCAATATATCAAAAATATCTCTTCAACATAAATAATTAATGAGATATCTTCCATTCTTTTTTTTTTAAAAACTAAGTCCTCGAAATCTGCCATGTGTTTGACACTTACAGCACAGCTCATTTAGGACGAGGCACATTTCACCGCTCAGTGGCCACAGGTGGCTGGTGGCTACTATGTTGGCACGGCTCAAGGGGAACAGGGTCTCCTTCCTCAACTGTGGGAAGCGTTGTAAGTGGGTTCATGTAAGTGAGATGAGCTAAGAGATGGCAGCCACGAATCAGAGGGAGCCTGGAGAGAGAACCAATATTTAATCTGAAATCATTTTAATATTTGGAAGAGTCACAGCCTAAGAGACAGAGAGGATATGAAAAATAAATGCAGGGTTCCATCAGTTCGGAAGGCCTTAGGAGTTTGCAGGGGGAAACTATTTACATCTCTTAAGAGCAAAAACATTTTAAGATACAATGAAAAGGCACAGCCAGCTGGGTGAGGGTGGCGTTATTCTGGGAATGGGAGGGTTAGGCAATGTGGACATGGAACGACTGTGAGACCACTGTCCCCATTTGGAGACACGGACTTAAGTTCTATGAGAAAAGGCTCCTTCTGTTTATCCTCTGCTTATCCTCTGGCCAGAAGCTGCCCTGGCTGTGAATTGACTCAGCTCAATTTGTAGCTGAGAAGACAGCTTCAGATTAAAGGGTACAGTAACCCCCATTTTATTTTCCATGACACAATTGTTTCCTTATTGAGCAAAGCATATTTTAACCCCAGCAAGATTTAGAATTAAGAATAGCAATGTTTAAAATAACCTAACCCAGGGTTAAGATTATCTTAAGGGGTCAGCAAACTTTTTCTATAAAGGGTCAGATGGTAAATATTTTAAGCTTTGTGGGCCTAGAGGCAAAATCAAGGCTATTGTGTAGGCATTTACATAATAAGAAAGACAACAAATTTCCACAAATTCTTATTGACAAAATAAAAAATATAATAATAATCATTGGATATAGTTTTTATAGGTCTACTGATGAGAAAAAGGGCATTTTTTTGGGGAGGATGATAATTTCTTTTGTGGGGGTTCCAAGTCAGTATTTTCTATCGAAACCTATTGCAAATGTTCATCTGTTAATGCTAATCTGTCACGAGATTTTAGATTTTGTCTCTGAAAATGTCTTTCCCTTCAGCTAGGCATTGGCGAGTAGTGATAACAATCTATGAGCATGCGATTTTAATCGAGCATGTTCCTCGCTTGGAAGGCATTTATAGAATCCTGTTAGATTCTTGCCTGTCAGCATGGCCTTTCATTTCAGATTAATCACTTCTAGTTGAAGGAGGGGTGGGAGCTCTTCAATTGCACAGTTAAGTGGATTTTGAAATATGGAAATTTCGTTGGCACTTTCTTTGAGGTCCAAAAGACGCTGCTGGAGCTTGGGAAATATTTCTTCTGAAAATTTGGGTGGCAGTGGAGGTCTTGCTTCTTGTTTTAATTTCTGACAGCACAGGAAGTGCTTAGAGCAGCTTGATACTGCTTGTGATTTCATCACGTTAGTTGTTGGAATGACTTTCCCGCAGTGCAAGCGTTGCATGTTAGTCCCATCCTGCCTGATGATTTTAGGTTGGATTCGTTAAGAAATATTATTAAGTCTGGGGCAGAAGCTAATTTCCAAAACCATTCAGGGTTGGTAATAGTGGTTGAGGGTGGTTTCTTTGCTCAGAAAAATTGCAATCTTGGTGTTGAGCTAAAATAAACCACGAGAAAATTCTACTGGGGCTAAACCACTGAATTGCTGAGTAGTGGGGCAAGTCAGGATATTCAGCTTCTGTTTCTGACAGAACTCACACAAATGGTGATGGTCGAATCCGTGAGAGCTAAAGAAGACACTGCTGACAGTGCTGGTTCAATAACGCGTGCTAGATCCAAAGATTTTCTGCAGGGTACTTTCTGATGAATAATAAAAATGAATAACCATAGGCTTGAAATAACTTCCATTCCCACCAGCTCTGTAAATACGTTCAACTGAGCCTTTTTCTGCTCAGCACATATTTGTACCATCATCGGCTGTAACACTTCATAGCAGATTCCACTTCAGGTTGTATTGACTTCATGTTTTCTCAACTTTTTGAAAACATCCGCACCTGTAGTTATTTCACGTGACTGTTCAGAGAGGCTAATTGTTTAGTCACTTCAAACTCAGTGCTGGCTCCTCGAATAAACAGCCACTGACAGCATCAGAACACCTGCCAACTCAGGAAGAGCAAAGGAAAACCATCCGAAATCACATACCTTGTTTTTCAATTGACTATCGATGTTGTTCCCAATGTCCTTAACTCTTTGAGCAACTGTTCTTGCGGAAAGACTAATAGGCTTCAACAAATTCATACTCTCTGGACACCCTCCTCCGCTCCTGCGATCGAACATGATTTAATTAACTCGCCGTTGGTGAATGGCTTTCCTTGCTTCGCTGACAAATGAGCCACTTGGAACCTTCGTTTGATCGCAGCCCCATTTTCATTTTTGTGAAGAAATTCGGCAGTGATGCGATACCCTGTTTTGAATTTCTAATTTTTCAGATCATCGCTCTCCTGGGGATATTGTGAGGGGTGCTTAGTCTGGTGATGTTGACGTATGTTGTATTTTTTAAGCACAGCTGTAGTGTCGTATGTCAAACACAGTGCTCTGCTATCTAACTGATAACAAAACTGACACTTCGCTGTGCCTTAAAAGTGCAACACATGAGGCCTACTCTTCTTGTTTTAGCACGATGGGTGTGCACTAGTAATAAAAAATAAGATAAGATGTCACTGTATAGTGATACACATAGCTCTTGGACAGCTGTCCAATTGTAACCGTGTCACTGGGACTTGTATTGCTCTGGACAGTGGCGCCAAGCAGTGAGAGCGTATCATGCAGTCTAGTGCACATTATAGTTCAAAAGCAGCCATATATAAATGAATGAGCGTAACTGTGTTCCAATAAGACTTTATGGACACTAAAATTTGAATTTTATGTAATTTTCACATGAAATATTATTCTTTTGATTTTTTCAACCATTTAAAACTGTAAAAACCTTTCTTTTAAGAAAATGAAAAGACAAGCCACAGACTGGGGGAAAATACTTGAAAAACACATATCTGATAATGGACTGTTATCCAAAATATGCAAAGAACTCTTAAAACTCAATAATAAGAAAACAAACAGCCCAATTAAAAAATAGACAAAAGATCTGAGCAGATACCTCACCAAAGAAGATATACAGATGGCAATTAGGCATATGTAAAGATGCTCCATGTCATATGTCATTAGAGACTGCATATCAAAACAACAAGATAGGGCCCAGCTCCATGGTGTAGTGGTTAAGTTCAGTGGGCTCCACTTCAGTGGCCTGGGTTCACTGGTATGGATCCTGGGCGCAGACCTACGCCACTCGTCAGCCATGCTGTGGCAGCATCCCACATGTAAAATAGAGGAAGATTGGCACAGATGTTAGTTCAGGGCTAATCTTCCTCAGCAAACAAAACAAAGCAAAAAACAAAACAACGAGATACCGCTACACGCCTATAGAAAATCCAAAACCTTGGTAACGCCAAGTGCTGACAAGGGTGTGGAGCAACAGGAGCTCTCATTGTTGCTGGTGGGAATGCAAAATGGTGCAGCCACTTTGGAAGACAGATTGGCAGTTTCTTACAAAACTAAGCCTATGCATATGATTCAGCACTCTCACGCCTTGGCATTTACCCAAATGTGTTGAAAACTTATGTCCACACAAAAACCTGCATGTGAATGTTTATAGCAGCTTCATTCATAATTGCCCACACTTGGATGCACCCCGTTGTTCTTCAGTAGGTGAATGGATAAACAACTGTTACATCCGTACAACGGAATGGTATTCAGTGATAAAAAGAAAGGAGCTATCAAAAACTACAAAAAGACATGGAGGAAACTTAGGTGCATATCACTAAACGAAAGAAGTCAATCTGAAATTCATACTGTGTGAATCATGCTGTATGATTCCAACCTTATGACATTCTGGAAAAGGCAGCTCTACGGAGATTGAAAAGATCAGTAGCTGTCAGGGCTTCAGATGTGGGGTGGGAAGGGAAGGAGGGGTGGCGTGGAGGTGCACAGGGGTTTTTTCGGGCGGTGACACCCATTCTGTATGATACTGTAGCGGTGCTTACGTGTAATTATACATTTGTCAAAATCTATAGAATGTACAACGTATGGAGTAAACTATGGACTTCAGTTAATAATAATGTGTCAGTATGGGTTCATTAATTGTAACAAATGTACCACACTAGTACCAGATGTTGCTAATAGTGAAAGCTGTGTGGAGGGAGAGAGGGTATATGGGGACTCTAGACTTCCCGCTCAATTTTGCTGTAAATCTAAAACTGCTCTAAAAAATAAAGTCTATTAATTCAAAGAAAATTCTTATTTCACAATCTGTACAAAACAGGTGGCAGGCTGCATTGGACCCATTTGCCATAGTTTGCTGACTCCTGACCATACTTTACTGAATCCATAGTGTTAGTAGTTTTGTTTTAAAGAATCTGGGCATTTGGGATATTTTAAGTATTTGTAAAATTTAAGAGAATTTGGCCTGTTTTTAAAAAAATTATGACTTAAAATATGTAATTAAATAGTTAATTTAGACATGTGATTTTATGTTGAAATTTTAAGTTTGAGGACAGCATTAAAATATGTAAGAGAACTTAAGGTTAATCATTTTTACTAGTTTACTAGACTGACAAGATCTTTTAAGAACTCCAGAAGGCCTTGTTTGTGAAGACAATTCAAGTATTTTTAAAAAGTTATATATCAAATTTAGAAATTCTATATATATGTTATATATAAGGTTGATAAATGCCGCTTTAAATAAATGTTCAAAGGATTTTAACCAAGTTTGAAGTGGGAGCAACTATTAAAATCAATTAAAGTGATTGTTAACATTTGCTAAATTTAAACATAGTATAATATCTGTGAATTGAACTTGAGAAAAGCTTAAGAAATGTTGAGAAAAGGCTTAAGAAAACCAAATGCAATATGTGGACCTCATTTGGATTCTAATTTGAACAAACCAACTCTTACAAAAAAATACGAAACAATCAGGAAGGTTTGAACACTGGATATTAGATATCATTAAAGGATCATTCTTTGTGTGTGATAAAGTATGTGTGATGTTGTAGTGATGTTAAAAGAAAAAAAAAGAGTCCTTATATCTTAGAAACCATACTCAAGTATTTAAGACTAAAATGATATAATATCCGGGATTTGCCTTACAATAGTTAAGCTGATGGGCAGGGTCAAGGAGAGGGGGTTATAGATGAAGCAAGATTGGCCATGTATTGATCACTGCCGGAATTGATGATGGGGACATGAGGTTCATTATACTATCCACTGTTGTGTAGAAATTTCCATGGCGCAAAGTCTTTAAAAAGAAAAACTTAAAGAAATAAATTTTCAAACTCGTTAAGTATTAATCTAAAAACCCAACTAACTTCTACGTAATCTTTTCTGGCACAAAGCCGCCATCAAAGAAACCAACAAAACTCAGGTTAAACTGCTCACTCTCCTTCTTCAGGTTTCTAGGGGCAGAACTCATGCTGGCCCTGGGTTGATAAGGAAACAGGCAGCTTTCTGCTCATGAGGCAAAGGTACTTCATACCACGGTAAATGGGCAGCCTCCAGCCTTTGCTGAGGGCCTTCTCCAGGGACTTCACATTATTTGGGAAGGCGATGAGGTAACAACGGCCGGTCATGGGCATCCCATCTGTGGGGCTCTAAGGCTGGGTGAGTTACCTTGCCCACCAGCAACCACTGCTATAGGGAAGAGAGGTCAGACTCATTCTAGGGCCCTGCTTGGGTAGAAATCAGAGGTCCCCTCTTCCTGGCTTACATGATCACAACAGGCCTCCTGAGGGTGCCTGCTGTTGAGTTTTGAGGAGCACCCCCGACCTCACCTACTCTAATCTTTTTTGTAAGGTCATGGAAGAGGTTGCTTCCCAGGAGAAAAACGTGGCTGTTCTTGAAAAAGCCATCCTTGATCAAGAAGGGCCTGCTAAGGTGGCTCACACACGCCTGGAGACCAGGACACATCGGCCTAACGTGGAGCTGTGTCGCGATGTCGCGCAGTATAGGCTGAGGAAGGAGGTTCAGGACATCACCCACAGCGTTGCAAGGTAGGCGAGCTGGTGGGCAGACGGCCCTGGGGCTTCCTTTAAGCCTGGACGGGGAGCAGGACTGGGCGGTGCCAGCGTGGGCGAGCCCTCTGTGCGTGAGTACATTTGCGTGCATAACGTTGGACTTCCTTCCTAGGGGGCGGTCTCTCCTAACTCCAGCCGGTTGCTGCCATGCAGGAAAGGGATCCCAATGTTTAAATTTTTCTAAAGTCCAAATCCAGATGTTTTGGTAAAAACCTACAGTTTTAAATGTTGGCACTTCATCGGTTTGTGTGCCTTGTGAATCTGGCCTGTGGCCACCAATCTGAAATCTCTGTCTTAAGGAGGAGAGAGGGAGAGGAAGTATCCATTTGGCTTCTGCACTGAATACATGAATACATTTCTTTTTCCCCTGCAGAGCAATACATTCCCTTATTTTCTTTCTCTTCTCCTAGATTGAAGGAAACATTAGCCCAAGCTCATACAGAGCTGAAAGGGCTGAATCGCAGACAACTCGCTCTGCAGGAGGAAATCCAGGTCAAGGAGAACACCATCTACATCGACGAGGTGCTGTGTATGCACCTGAGGAAGTCCATCCCGCTGCGGGATGGGGATGACCACGGGGAGTGGGCCGGGGGCCTCCGTCCGGACGCTGTCTGCTAAACGTAGGGATAGTTCAGATTCTCATTAAACCATGTCACCAAACGGTAGTACAGGACTCTCATTTCAGTTCAGCAGCACTTGCAGTGAGCCCAGCACCACCTCGTGCCCAGGATTCCAGGCCGGCCGGGCAGCCGAGATTCGGGCGCTCGGCTGTGTGCTGTTGCTGCTCGGGTGCTGTGGTTGGTTAGCAGGTGAATGCCCTGTGTTAGCACAGGCCGTTCTTAGACAATCACAGGACTTGGGGCCTGGCAGAGGGGTCCAAGACGTTTGTTCAGACTTATTTCAGTTCAGTAGTCGGGCTGGATCCCCTATGCAGACCATGCCCGTCTGACTCATGAGAGGGCAGGCGGACACTTCTCTTGGCTCTCGAGATTCCTTTTCCCTGGAAAACAATGTGGTGACTGCTGACTTAGACCCCCGCTGGTCCACGGGAAGCGTATTCAAGTCACAGGAACTTAGATGAGAGAGGAGTGGCCCTGGGCAGGAGTCCCCTCAAGCCTTCGCCCACACCGCAGGCATCTCTCTGGGCCTCTTTGTCCTGGGTGAGATGAAGAGGACAGGACAGGGCCAAGGAGCCCTCCAGCTCTTAGAAAGTAGACCTAGTGGGAGGCGTTGAGGAGCCGGTGGGCCAGGATGCTGTTGCTGGGCTCACGGGGTATGAGGGTAACAGAGGACATCTCTGTTCACAGGTTGGAGCGGGGGCTCAGAAGGGCACCAGTGGATATGGGTGTCAGCTGTGGGGAGGGTAGCTCGGGCAGGAGGAGCTCTGAGTGACACTCTGGGAAGGCGGGAGGCGTCAGTACCCACAGGGCAGGGGTGGGGCGGCTTATGGAGGGTGCTTGGCAAGTGCTCAGAGCCCAGTGACTGCAGTCTGAAGATTGCCAGCCTAGGAAAGAGGGGGCCGCGCTCCTGGGCCCCCAAGAGAAGCTTTTCCAGGGGCCGGCAGAGCGTGTCCTTTAGCCCCAGGGAAAGAATTTCTGGGTTTTGTTTTCTTTCCTGAATGTAAATGGAGGGTGTGAATTTGGTGTTGGTTTCCAGATTGTTAGTAATCGTTAGGAATATATATATATATATTTTTAATATGCAAGTCACCGTAAAGGAAAAGAAAAAAATTACTCCCGTTTCTGCCACAGATTCAAGTCCACGGCTAGCGAGTGTAGGTTCTGGAGTCAGACATCTCTGAGTTCAAGGTCTCCAACAATACCTGCCTCGGAGGGTCACTGTGGGATGGAGTGAGATGATCTTATGGGAAGGGCTTCATACAGAGCCTCTCCCGTGGGGAAGCCAGTGTTCAGTAGACATGAGCCGTTTTTAATAGACCCCACCGTTATACCCACATAAATTCTGCACAGGCTCATGACACAGCCTCAATTTTGTATAATTGTTTTCTGCCCTAATTGTACACTGCAAGTAGTTTTCCATGTTGCTATTTCATCTTTATAATTATTTTAATGGTTACATACCTCTAAAGTTTTCGCCAAGACCGTTCCCATATACTATTTCTTTCCAAAGAGCGTTCTGCCTAGAGCTGGCTGCTGTTGGCTGAGTCACAGCACTTCAAGAATACGTCTGGGTGACGGTCAGAGGAAGAGCTCTGCTGTGGGAAACTGACGTTCATTCATCGTCAGTTCTGCTGACACTGGAAGAGCACCTTCCCAGTGGGGTTTCACTACCTCGGCCCTTCCATGCATGGAACTGCTTCTCCCTCTGCGCTAACCTTTGGTTCCCTGAAGCCTACTGGACTCCTGGTGGCGTAGGGCAGAGCACGGGTGGCCGGGGGCGGGAGACCCGGGTTCTAGTTCAGACACTTCCCGGAAAGCCCCTCCCCCTCCCAGGGCCACCAGCAAAGTGTGAGGATTCTCTGAAATGGCCCAGACCCGTTCCTATCTTTGATGCTCCCTGCATAGTGTCTTGGGGCACAAAGGCACAAAGAGTGTGGGGCGTGGGCCTGGCTCCCAGGAGGTTGACAGTCCAAGTGTTCCTCCGTCCAGAGATTCTTTGCCGTCAGCCTTGGATGGAGAAACCCTCTTTGAGGCTGAGGGCATCAGCTTAATGCTGATCTGTGCCGTGACCTGCCCGCCCCATTCCTGAGCATCATCTCTGAGGTGCTGATCGGATATGCAGCCCTCCCCATGCCCGACAAGGGGGGCCCTCCTCTCTGCCCTGCGGAAATCTCTGCGGGCGCTTCTGCTCTGGCTGGGAAGGGTTCGAGCGCTGCTCACCAGCTTGCAGGGCAGACCTCAGGGTCTGTGCCCACTCGGGATTAGGAGGCCTGTGCCCAAGGGTGTGGCCAGCAGGGTGGGAAGATTTGGGGAGACATCCTTCCTTGTGAATATGGCTCTGGGAGGCTCAGTGGTTAATTAGGGTCGCATCCTTCTTGCCGGTTGCAGTGAAGATAAAATGAGACATTGTGTGTAAAGTACCCACGATAGAGCCTGATGTAACAGGTGCTCAATAAATGTAGCTAGTTTTTTTTTCGGGTGAGGAGTTAGTTTCTAATATTCTGAAAAAGAGCATCTGTGAACTAAGAAAATATTGAAAAGTACCACCAGGTCTTTAAAAAAGTACAAATTTCAAAGTAATTCATCCCACATTCATTGAGCGCCTATCACTTGGCAGGTGTAGGGAGACAGGGAAGCTGGGATGATGTTGTGATAGAGGCAAGGACAGCCGCGGCCGTGAGAACAGCTGTAGGGAATCAGGGAGAGCTTCCTGGAGGGGGCGACACCTACTGAGATGTGATGGACAATGATGATAATAGCGGAGACAACCGTTACCAACCAGTGAGCACATACAGTGCAACATGAGTAGGAATTAGTGTCGTGGAGGAGAGGAGCTGAAAGCTCTCCTCCAGGAAGGTGGAAAGGCCAGTGCAAAGAAACGGAAGCTTGAAAGAGCAGGGTGCTGGTGGGCAAGAGCAGATTGGGGTGGGGGATGGGGGTGGGCGGAGCTTGGAACCGGAGGCCTGAAGGTCACATTGGAGGCCCAGTAATCCAGCTAGACATAAGGTGAGACTGAGTTAAGACGTGAGCATAGCAATAGCGGAGGAGAACAGAGTCCAGATATGTCTAGGAATTACGGGACTTGGTTACTGCTCAGGTACAAGGGCGAGGGAGGGAGAGAAATCAAGGATGGCTCCTGGGTTTCTGGCTTGGATAGCAGGGTAAACGGGGGTACCTCTGGTGAGAGGGAAGGTGGGAAGAGAAGGGCTCCTACAGTGAGGGTGGGGTGGGCAGGTGACAGTGACAAGCTCACTGGTTGAGGGTGAGGATCCTGTGGTAGGATAAAGGTTTGGCTGCAGCCAGAGAGCTGGGAGGCACCCGGAGAGGCGGTGGTAGAAGTCATGGGGTGCGTGGGAGTTTGAGGGGCATGGAGAAGGGGCTGGGCTTGAGCCCTGGGACACACCCACACTTCCAGGTTGGGTGAAGAAGGATCCTATAGGCAGACTAAGAAGAAACCTTCGAGGGAGTGGAAGATGCCAGAGAAACGTGGTGTCACGGATGCCCAAGTAGAAGAATGTTTCCAGGCACTGGTGGTCGGCAGGTGGAATGCTCCAGAGCATCAGCCAAGAAAGGCAGAGCATCCTTTAGATTTGGCAATTAGGCAATCACTAGGGACACTTTGCCATAAGCAATCTCAATGGAGTATGGGAGGAAGAAATCAAGAGGTGTGGATACTTCTTTTTAAAGATGCTTATCTTAGGCTGTGCTTTGAAAAGAAAAATACTAGCCTCTGCTCTCTACTGGTACATATTCTGCCCCCAGGGACTAAGAAAAGCTGAAAGGTCAGAGCAGGAATAGGGCAACATCTCCCCATTTATTGTATGCAAGGCTACAGTCAACAATAAGTTGGAAGTCTTGCAAGTTATAACATTGTACCTTATAAGTCTTGGAAGTCATAAACCTTAAAGTTGTGAATGCAGACTTTGAGAAGTATCCAGTCCAGAGGAGGGAAGTGGCAGCACGCTGGCCCAAGCTGTCTCCCAAATGATGATGTCTCATTCATCCTTGTTGTTTTGTCTGCCTCTACATGTAAATTACATAAGGGGGTTATCGCGGAGAATCATGACAGCGATCCTTGTTTAAGAAGAGTGGCCCTGGTATCTTCCTTAGATCCTTGAAGAAGACAATATCTTTATAAAATCTTTCCCACTGCATTCCATAGATCATAAACGGCGTTTCAAAGGAAGCTCTCAATTAGGTACAAAGATTCTTTCATGGGGGGAGTTAGCATCTCTCAAATTTATTGAGACAATTAAAATTCATGGAAGGATGGCTTTATGTTAACAGAGAGATTAACATGTTGGTAACAAGTCAAGTCAAAGAGTGCCTCAAGCTGGCACAGCCCCTGTTCCCTCGCAGTCTCCCGACATCATGGGAAAATCCTCTGTATTTTGGAGTCCTTGAGGTCTCTTTGTGGATAAGAGTGACTGTGTGGTGGAAAGTGTTGAACCTCAGGGCTAAGTCTATGACAGATGTAGATCACTTTCTCTGAGAATTTGCTTTCGTTTCTTACTTTTGAAAACCTCAGAACCTTCTGGGAAAATCCTTAAGGTTTAGCTACCGGGTGGTGGGTTCTGGAGCAAGAGAACGTTCAAGCGGACAGACGGCTGTCACTGTGAGAGCTGCTTGGGACCCCTGTGGTCACTCAGTCCTACTCTCCCATTTTGTAGATGAGGAAACAGAGATTCAGAGCGGAATGGGGGAAAGAAAGCTACTTGCCCAAGGTCCCCCTAGGGGTTCAGGCAAGGCTGGATCCTGGCCCCAAACTCAGGGTTCTTCCCACTGCTGCTTGAGCTAACTTCCTGACCCCCAATAATTTCTTTTCTGAGAACCACACCCCCATAAACACAGGGAGGGCTCCACAACCATGTCCCTATCATATGACCTGCCCTCAGAGAGGCTCACTGATCCAGCCGGGCCATCCTAGGTTGGCCTTCTGGGGATGGGCGTTTAGAAGCACACAGAGACTGGGAGTGACCAGAGGGCTCTGGAGAAGAGGGTCACCAATTCCTGTGGCTGTGGTCTCTACAGCTATGCTGGGTCCCCTCATGCAGAGTTGGACAACTTGTTCTTTCTATGAGATGCCTCAATATAGCCTCTTTCTTGGCTTGAGTATCCAGAAGTTGGTTTCTGTTACTTGCTCCCTTAGGAAGGAAAGCAAGTAGGGAAGTTAGTTAGTTGCTTTCCCTCAGCAAGTTAGGGAAAGAGCGAGTGGCTCTGCCGGGACCAGCGCATGAGGAAGAGGGGTGGGGTGGAGCGGCAGACCTTGCTTCTGAATGTGAAACAGGGCTCTAAAGAGGGCACAGGGTAACTTCTTGCTTATATGTAGTTTCCTGCACTCCCCTGTGCACAGAGGCCCCTTCCAGGGCCTGTCCCTTCCCCTCCACGATGGAGCGGGAACCACCGTATGAGCACCACTGGCCGTGCTACCCCTCCCCCATTGCCCGGGGGACTGGGTCAGGAGGGAGTAGCTAATGGAAGGTGGGGCAGTGAGCCCCTCTCCTGAGGCATGTGGACGTGGGACTGGGAGGTTTTGGTCCCACCTGGCTGCTCCCTTGAATACGGGAGATATAGGCTTTGGGGAGTAGATGGCAGCTGCTGACTGTCCCGTGGACGGGAAACAGAAAGCGAGTTTGCAGCAAGAGAAGAAATGGCAGCTGAAGCACCTAGAGAAAGAGAGGAGACCTCCTGCCTTCCTGCCGCTCTCGCTCCCTCGGCTGCAGGCGGCTCCTCACGCCCTGGGCTTCCGTGGCTTCTGTGAGACCCTCAAGCATCCTCATACTGCATCTGATTTCTGCTTACTGGCTCCCAGTGGGTTCTCCGTGGCCACCGCCCAAGAGGGTTGTGACTCATAGGCCACGCCGCTCCACTGGACGAGTGGGCTCACCGAGAGGGCTGGGAGTGGGCGTTACCCCCGAGTGGGCTCTTGATGGAGAAATAGGTGTCTGCTGGGTAGAAAGCGGGGGGCATTCCAGGAGGTGGTATGGCCTACACAAAGGCAAGGGGTCTCAGAGAGCCGAATGCGTTTCCAGAGGAATTAGGTGTGGGCCCTATGAAGGATGTTACAATCTCAAGTCAAAACCAAGGGGGACAATTATAGCCTTGGAAGACAGGTGTCCCATTGGTAGTCCCACAGTTATGACAAACATTAACGTGTTGAGTGCTTATGATGAGTTATTTATACAAACTGTTACTATCCCTATTTTACAGGTGGGGAAACTGAGGCTTTGAGAGGTCATACAGCTAGGACTCAGGCCCAAGCAGGCTGACTCTAGCACATACACTCCTAAAACCCTTATGGCCCACCATTGAATAGCACGGAGAGGGTTTTAGGCGGAGAAACCAGGCACAGAGCTAATAACTTGTTCACAGCGCCTCAGTGCCGGATTTAGAGACTGAGCTTAAGTTTTCTGTTCAGGCCTGAGACTTTAACGTCTCGATATTGGGAAGTCTGTTTGCTGTGATGACCTAAACTCCACTCTTTGCCTCTAGGTTTGGGAGGGGTTTGGTAAAGCAGGTCCCGGGTAAATGCCCGAAGCAGTCTTTCATGCTGAGGAACCACAACCAAGCACTCGGCTTCCCGAATGTAGAAGAGAAGAGTTGGGGAGATGATGAAATCAATGGCGTGAGCTGATTTGGCTTCCGGGCTTCCTAATCACCTGCATCTGAGCATACTTGTTGTACCTGACTGACTTTGGGGCTACATCCTGTCAGCGAGGGGCCGAGGGCCCTGTGCAGCAAAAGCAGAAGTCATCTGGGAGCTTCGGGAAAGGACTCGGACCGCTGGCGCCCTCCCTTACTCCCCTCCTTCCTGCCTCGGAACAGCTGAGGTCTTTGGAGCTGCAGCAGCCTCTGGAGACCACGGCGAAAGGGCGAGAAGGGCACAGAGATAACGAGATAACTAGTCCCAACCCCGGGGAGCCCCGAAGCAAATAGCAGCCACTTCACTCTAGGCTTCCCAATAGTAAGGAAAATAACTATTGGTTTCAGCCACTGTTGGGCCCTCTGACACTTAGACTGGAATGTGTCCTGACTGATAACCCGTCTCAGAGCAGAGTATGGGCCTGGAGATGGATCAGACCAGTGTTTTCGTTTCTCTCTCTCTCAGAACCTTTGTCAAACACAATCTTATGGGAGAATCATGATTAAGTAAGAATTGGAGGGACAGCCCCTTTGGGCATAGCACGGTGTCAGGGAAGAACTCTCCGTGGTTCCCCCAGCAGGGTCCCCCAGGGGACTCCAGGGAGCACAGTTTGAAAACCACTGATCTTATCCAACCTCATTGTACAGATGGGGAAACTGAGGCCTGGACAGCAGCAGGGATGTGCATCAGGCGATCTGGGGCAGAGGGGGCGAGGGAACAGGGGCTCCAGCTCTTCCAGAGGGCTCTCCTGTCCCTGTACAGCAGAGCTCCGCACTGTGTAATGCCCTTTCACAAACAGGATCTCAAATGAGGAACTGGGGCGTGAAGCATGAACCGACTTGTCAGAGGTCACATGGCTGATGCGTTACCGAGGCTTCACTGGGTCTGGGGCTTTTATATCCTGAAACCGGGATCTCTGGCCTCAACGTATTTTTTTTTCTTTTTTTTTTTTTCAGATTTTATTTTTTCCTTTTTCTCCCCAGAGCCCCCTGGTACATAGTTGTATATTCTTCGTTGCGGGTCCTTCTAGTTGTGGCATGTGGGACGCTGCCCCAGTGTGGCCCGACGAGCAGTGCCATGTCCGCGCCCAGGACTTGAACCAACGAAACACTGGGCTGCCTGCAGCGGAGCGCGCGAACCCAACCACTCAGCCACGGGGCCAGCCCCTGGCCTCAACGTATTTTTACCTGAAGACTCATCCATGAATTTTGGCAAGGCTTTTTAAAAACATAAATGTTAGGAAGAATCTCACTGACTTCCTGGAGGTGAGGAGGCTTTGCTTGTCCAGCTGACTGTGGCTGGGTTTGGAAACCTCGCGTGCTCTGCATTGTCCTACCAGGGCGCTCCTGGTCTTGATCCTGTTCCGGTTCCTCAGAGGAACCCGCATCTCCGTGCAGTGGTTCTCTGTGTGGGGGACTCTCTGAGGGTCCTGAGACCTTCGTCAAGGGATCCACGGGGTCAAAACTATTCTAACAATAACATCAAGACGTGATGTGCTCTTTGCACTCTCGTTCTCTCTGGAGTTTTCCGGAGGCTACATGGTGTGCGATATGGCAACAGACCGCAGAAGCAGGTCTGAGGACCCAACTGGGTACTCTTAAGCCAGACAAGAGAGAGATTTGCAAAACTGTAAAACAAATCCACTTTTTTGGGAAAACATGTTCATAAAAAATGTTATTTATGTTAACATGTTTCCCATAAAAAAGTCCTCTACACTTCGATTCTGCATTTGAGGATGAAAGGAAATGAGCCAGAACTGGTCCACACATGGATAAATCATAATACCAGTCTATCTCCCAGGTGGTCTGGATTCCAGCCGAGGCTCCCCTCTCACCTGGAGCAAACCACCTCCTCTCTGGTCCACTTGGCACTTGATGGCTCCCAGGGGCCCCCTGGTTTCAGCATCCCATGACTCTTTAAGGTGTCTTCTCCCTCCGCACCTGGGAGCTCCCCACAGCTGGGGACCCCATTCCCCTCACCAGTGTCCATCTTCTCTGAATGTTAGTGAAACAGGGACCATCTCTACCCACCAGCACTGAAGGGACATCCAGATGAGACAGAGAATGTGGAAGTTCTGTGAAACTGAAAAGACTAGATAAATAGAAACTTTACCAAAGGCCTAAAAAGCTATGCATAAATATGGACCCAGCATACAAAAGGCGAGACAGACAAAATTTGATATGAGACACTTGTCCAAAGTATTCTGAGATTTTATTAATTTATATCTATTGAAAAAAATCCCCATATACACAAAAATCTCAAAAGACCAGAAGCAATACATGTCTATGGCCTGGGCTCAGGAATTTATAATTACTCCCTGTTTAAAACACAATAGATTTCCTCAATTATAAAAATAGCATATGGTCACTGTATAAAAATTTGAGAAATAGGGGGAAAGCATAAAAAGGAAAATAAAAACCACCCATAATCCCACCACTCAGAGATAACCGTTCACATTTTTGGTGTATCTCTTCTGTGCTTTCAAAAAAAACCCTTGTGTGTGTTTTACGTGATTGATATCACACTATGTACACAGTTTTATGTCCTACTTTTTCCACTGAACACTGCATTAGGAACATTTCCCCATGACATTGTAAATTGCTTGTAAATATGTGTATAAGGGCCGCTCCTGGTTCAGCCCACGCCTGAAGACCAAGCGTTCACGGCAGGCTGGGCACCACGCTCAGAGATCCAAGTCTACACCACCCATAAATTAGGGGCTGAATTCCCTCTGGCGGGGGACATCTGGCTCGGAGCAATCTCCTTCTAAACGTGGGACTTTCCCTGCTCCCTTTGAGGACACGCTGGCAGGTTCCCATTCACCGGAGATCGGGCCTGGCCCACGTAGGGGTCAGAAGGCTCTGCCGTGAAGGTTGGCCAGGATGGAATGCTTTCTGAACTGACAATGTCAATCGGGAGAAACGGCATTTCTATGTGCTTCCCGGCCAGTCACCCCGTTTCAGGAGCACAGGTTAGCAGGAGTCAGGGTCCCCCAGGAAGATGCGGCTCTGAGCCTCCTTGGGCTTCTGGCTCTGTGGCTGACGGAGGGGGTCGAAAAGCAAAACCAAATGACAAAAAGGAAATCATCCCAGATAGTTGGTAAAGATAGCACTTTACAGCCACCCGGGGCCCTCACGTCACCAGCAGTCCCAGCCTTCGCTGGGCCGTTCCTGTTGGTGTGGAACTGGGGAGAAGGAGAGAGAGGGAAAAGGGGTGGGCGTAGGGGATGCTCCCAGTGTGCTTCTAGGAGAACCGGATGGTCAGGTTCAAAGTGCTCCTGGCCTTCTCCCTCTGGAGGGCGCTCGTCACATCATGGGGTAGGCGATGACAAAATAGTTAAGCTCTGAATCGATCAGCTTTCTGTACTTCCTGTAAATTTCTCGCAGGGTCTTGTCCTCTTCATTTGTCTCATATCTGTTTGTATAAATTCTCACCTGGCCGAGACAGAAACACACCAGTGCACACACACAGTCTAGGACTGCACCCTTCAGGGACTGAAAACAATTCGGATGATGCATACGTACAATTGTTGGCAGAGTCAAGAAAAGCCCAAACCCAACTACTGAGGCAGAAAGCTCCAGATTCCCGCCCGGGAAATAGTTAATTTCCAGTGGGCAGACGCCCGTGAGACGCTGCCCCCCACTCCCTGCCTCGTCTCTGACCGTCGTCTCAGAGCAGAAGCGCCGTGGCTGGACACCCGGACCTCCCCACTCTGTCCCTGTGGAAGCAGCCCTGGGGTTGGGGGCTCTCACCTTGAGCGTGCGCAGGGCACACTGCCCTTCTTCCTGACTCTTCAGGATCCGCTCCACAAACCTGACATCAAGGAACGCCCAGATTTTGAAGTAAAACAACTTCCTGCAGGACAAGATGAGGAGGTGCAGCTCCTCGTCGAGCGACTCGTGGTTGTTGTTGAACTCGAAAGTTAACTTCTGGAAAAGCACCAAAGGGGGAGCTGTGTGTGGGCCAGGACTGGCTGGACCACTCGGTGACATTCCCATGACTTGGCTTTGGGCCTGACGGCCGTGGTGCTTCAAGGGCTGTCCTAAGGGACACGGGACAGGCAGTGCATGGAGGAAGTGGTCTGGGAATGAAGGCGCTCTCGTGCAAAATCGCGACACCTGGAGTTTGGGGGCAATGCTTTTGGAGTCCAGAGACCAAGGTGCTGGTCCAGCCCTGCAGTGGAGTGACTGGCCGGGTGACTATGGGAGGGCCACTGTACCTCAAGTTCTTCGTAGCACCAAAGCATAGTAATGATGTCTGCCTGCCCAGTTGAGGGCTACGTGAGCATCACATGAGCTATTAGCACTTTGAAGTCCCTCATTGTTAGTAGTGGTGTTTATACCTATGAATATCAATCGTCACAACCTTCTGTGAGGTCCTTAGGAGGGAAAGAATGATCCCAACTTTACAGATGGGGAGCTGCCAGCTTAGAGAACAGCCCACACCTCAGAGCTCTTCAGTGACTTGGGGCGAAACCGGCTTTTTGTTTGGTTTGGGGTCACCCCTGTTTGCTGCATGCTGCTGGGACCGGGTGGCAGGTCGGAGGAGGCTGCTGACCTGGTACTCACCTGCAGAGGCCCATTCTTGCTCCAGCCTCGCAGCTCTGAGCTGGGGATATAGGGGTTTTCCTTGATTGACAGCCAACCAGAAAATTCCTCGTGTTCCACGTGTAGGAAGTGAGCAGCAGCAGCTCCTATCATCTGCTGTGGTCTTAGGGGGCCAGGGGGAGGCTTGGGTTTGGTAACATTCCCCTGGACCTCAATTTGAGATTGAATGAGTGTGTGCAAGCCCAGGCAAGAGCAGGCAGCCGGGGGCCTTTCCCTGGGGGGACACCGGTAAACTGAGCGGCAGTCATTCCTCAAAAGCCACCCCCAACCAAGTCATACCTACCTGCAGGGTGTGCCGGAAGGTGGGCAGGAGATCCACCAGGGTGGGCCTCATCGACCAGTCTGGGTCACTGAAATAGCAGCTTCTCAGACTAATGCTCCGGATCGGGATCTCCTGCAAGAGGATCCGGGCCAAGCGCTCGTACTTCATGACCCGCTCAAAGAAGAAGTTCACCTTCAGGTTGGTGGCGTGCCGGGCCAGGTTGGCCCAGGACATGCCCCAGATGACCTGCCCGTGGGGGTCGTGGATGTGGCACTTGATGTTTATGGTCCAGAGGGTACCAGCGTTGTTCTCACACAGGTTCTCGAGCAGCTCGTCGGAGAGGCAGTTGTAGTTGAGGGTCAGCGACGCCAGGTTGCGGAACGTGGCCATGGTCTTGTTGAATTGGGGGCTGCTGTAGATGGCCAGGTGATGGCTGAAGTAGTCCTCGATGTTGAGCTCCGAGGCCATGCTCTCGTTCCGTAAGTAGCTCAGGGAGTTGAGGACGTGGCAGCCTTGCTCCACAGTCAGCCTGGCCCCCTTCAGGTTGAGATAATCCAGGTGTTTGCCCGTCTTCTTTAAGAAGAAGCTCAAGCTTTTGATGAAGGAGGTCCTGATGCTGTTCCTCCAGACGAGGCGGTCCAGCTCCAGGTGCTGAATGGAGAGAGATTTCAGACGGTTGTTACTCTTGCCCAGACACGAGAGAAGGCCTCGCATGGTGATCTGGAACTTCTTGGTCAAGACGGCATTGTAAGGATTCAGGAATTTGATCTCCAGGTGCTCCAGATAACGGCCAAATTTCTTTACATACCAAAGAGCAGACTCGAACTCGGAGGCGTGTACCCTGGAAGGTCTCCCACTGAACGTGATGGTCCTGGACCGCCAGAGGTCAGCCGAATACATCGTCTGGTTCCACTTTCTGCAGACAAGGGCCGCCCTGGACCGGTCCCTGTCTCCTAGCCACCAGAAGACACGACGCAGGCACACATCGGGCAGGGCGGCCCAGCAGCTCTGCTCTTGGGGCTGGAGCAGTTGGCGTTCCTCGTCCATCGAGGAACCGGGGTGCCCGGTGCAGCTGTGTGGCAGGCAGGGCTTCCAAAAACGAGGAAAGAAAAGCAATCACTCGTTTTCTGTGGGGAGTAAGAAGGAAGAGCCATTACCTGCCAAACAGAAATTAGGCCCAATTGAACGAATGTGCACTGTGTAATAGGCATTGTGCTGGTATGGGGGGTGCAGTAATAAGGTCACCATCCAGTCCACACCTGTAAGGAATCACAATCCACCAGTGGTCTCTCAGGGACACAGACCAGGACTCAGTTACAACACAGTGAGTGAAGGGAAAAGGTTCAGGCATATTCGTGGTGCAGGGTAGCACAAACGGTGGGTGATTAATTCTGTCTGGATAAGAAAGAAGTACAGAGGGCTGCTTGGAGGAGGTGACGTCTGAGCTGAGTTTTGCATGGTGAGTAGGATTTGCAAGGCAGACCAGGTCAGCCCGGTGGTGGTGGTGGAACTGATGCATCCCAGGGCAGAGGGACCAATATGCACAAAGCCACAGAACTGTGAACGCACGCGATGTGGTCACATTTGGGGAACTAAAAGTTGTTTGGAATTTAACTTGTGAGGGGCGGGGAGGGGAGGAACTGGAGCTGGAGCAGTGGGAAGTGCCGGGTCAAGGGGCCCTGAGGGATGGGACACAAGCTGGGTCCTAGAGGCCGGGGATTCCCTCTGGGCCCTCTCCCCAAGACTCTGGAATTCAGGTCCCCTTCTCTGGACGAGAATCGCTGCCCATGTTGACTACTTTGATGACGGCTGTGTTTACATTCAAAAGGTGGAGCGGCAGAACAAGGGTGGAGGACCCCAGCCACGGTCACGGGGATCCAGGGAAGGCCGGAGGGCCACATGTCTGGAAGTGATGTGGTCAGTCTTCAGGTAGAAAGGAGAACTGGGCGAAGGCCCCTCCTGATACGGTGAGACCTCAGCCAGACCTTCCACAGCCATCTTCTGAAATCTTCATGACTTTGCTTTCGATATTTCTCCTGCCTGAAAACTCCCCACCTTTTTCTTCCTCTCCCCAGCCCTCCACTCTTTAAGGTTCAAACCTCACCTCTCCATAAAGCTTTTATTGGCTACTTTACCAAGAGGCCCAAGATGACTATCATGGCTCATAAAAACTCCCAACTGGAAGAGATCTGAAGTTGATTTCTTTACACATGGAAACTGAGGCCCAGAGAGGTAAAGGGACTTGCCTATGGTCACACAGTAAGTTATAACAGGGCTCAGGCTAGAACCTGAGCTTTCTGACTCTTTCTCCTGTACTTGTTTCCTACCTCGACTTCTTAGGCCTCAGGTGCAGAGGGACAAGTTCATCATATTTTTCAGTTCAGGACAGACATTTGTCTGTGCAAGATGTCTTTTTAATTTTATTTATTCCCCTTTAACTCTATGTCCCACTCCATTGCCTCCCACCACAGGCAACTATTCCACTGTGTCTGATGTGCATGTTCTTGTTCATGTGTGTGCCCACCAATTGTGCAATTAATGCATGTAAGCATCACTCATGTTGCTCGATGTACATCTTACCCACTGCATCTATCATCTGAATAGAACCCATGGGGGGCACCCCACCTTTCGTCCATCCACTCTTGCTGTGACGGACCCGCAGCCTGCTCCAGCTGCCACCAGCACCACAGTGGCATGAGCATCCTCAGGCGAGCTCCCACAGGGGACTTCCCTTGGGATCTTCTCCCCTGTCTTTGTCCTCACTGCCCCGTCAGCACCTATAGAACAGTTTGGCTCCTGCCTCCAGCTGGCCCTCCCATCTCCAGATCCAGATGTGGACTTTCACATGGGATGTGGCAGCAGCCGGTCCCCATCCAGGACACAGGGCTCCAGCGGGTTCCCGGGCCTCTGACTCCATATTCAGCTTGCCCATTCTCCTTCCTCGCTCCCCAGTGTCCATCCCGGACTATAAATCTGTGTCTAAGCCTTTCTCTCCCACGGGACCCACACACCCCTTGAGACTAGGGGCAGCCTCGTTCTTCTATGGAGTAGGTACTTAAACATCTAACAAATGAAGAAATATAGTTGTGCTTTCAATCACATATACACTGCCGGTGCTAGTGACCTTGAGGACTTTGCCTGGAGCAAAGCACCTAAGAGATGCTCAAGAAAAGCTAAACCAATTCAAAAGCTAAGCGAAACCCTCTGCCCCAGCAAAGCCACCGGTGGGAAGAATTTAAGCCACAAGGTGGGGTTGGAAGAGTATCGTTGGTGGGCTGGGGAAGCTGTTGCAAGTAGTCCAAAAGTCCCAGGTGATTACTGGGAACACCCCCACCCCAAGACCTCCTCACCAGTGGGAGGCAGTGTAGCTACTGGGTTAGATCCGGGTGCCGTCACTTGCTACGTGTGACCTTAGGCGAGTTAACGGATTTCTTTGTGCCTCAGGCTCCACATCTGTAAATAGGGGTAACAAGAGTACCTCTCTCCTAGTGTTGGGAGGATTAAATGAGCTGATACCCGGAAAGCTCCAGAACAGTGCCTAGCACAGAGTAAACGCTATACCAGTGTTAGCTGCCATCAGTAAGTCGGTGCCAAGGGACTTCTGCACCACCCCTGTGCGGAAGGTGTGAACACACCCTTTTTACAAATTGGGAAACAGAGGCGTTGGAAGGTTAGGGAAGTCTCCGGATGAGATCGCTGGGTAACTGGGGAGGTGGGATTCGAACCCAGCGTAAGGACTCTCCAACCTAGGCTCGGTCCACCATATCACACCCCTGCCAACCCTGGAAGGAAACTTAGGGCGTCCGGTCACCAGGCAGGGGAGGTGGCCGGAAGCTTCCAGGAGGAGGCTGGTGGGGAGGGCGGCCCACCCCACCCCGCACCGGCTTGGGGGCGTCCCCGGCCTGCGTCCACCGCGCCCGCCTGTTACCCGCTCGCTGCGCCCCGCCAGGGTTGCGCCCGGTTTGGGCAGCGGGGACCGCGGGTGCGCCTGCCTGCTCCACCCGCGCCGCCTCTGCTCCACGCCGGCTCCGCGACCTCCAGGGTCTCGCTCTGCCCCGACGGAGGCGGAGGCCAAATGTCAAGCAGGGGCCGCCTTTGTGACGCGCCGCCACCACCTGCGGGGCTGCTCATCCCCACTGGGCGCAGGGGCCCAAACCTGGGGTGGCCAGATCAGTTGATTATGCGCGTGGAGGGCAAGACGTGTCCCCGCGCAGACTGTCCGGGGAGGTGCCCTGGACTGGGGCTTGGAGGCAGGAGGCTTGGCCCGCGGGCGTGGTGAGGATGGGCATGCCCCGCGCCCTTCCCTCTTCATGCCAGGAAGAGGTTCTGCCCCGAACTTGGGGCTCAGGTGCGCCCAGTCCGCCGCCTTTCCCGTCCTGACCCAGCCCGGGCTCCTGTCGAGTCTCGGGACACCCAGCTTGTGCGCATCTCCTTTGGAAACCACCCGGCGAGCTCTGCCACCGCTTCCACTTTCCCCAACTTAGACAGGGCCCCCAAGGGAAAGCCTTAAACGTGACAAAGCCTGAGAAACTCCCCATCTTTCCAGTTTCGGGAGGGTGGGGTGCACTAACCCACCACTTTCCTTGGCCCTTCCCTTCCCGGCAGGGCCTGGAGCCCTAACGCATCACCCCAAAGGCAGGCAGGAAGGCGGGGGTGTATTGTTTGCCCGTAGCTAAGTGCCTCTCTAGGTTTCCCCAGGTCTCCCCAGCGGATCTCCCTGCCGAAGGGCTTCAAAGGCGCCCGTTCGCGCTCCACTGGCCCTTGCCTACCGCAAGCCTCATTTCTCTCTCCCGCCGCCGCTTCTCTTGTCCCGCCCCCGGCCCTTTCCCTGTGCGCTGCCTCACCCTGCTGTCCCGGCAGCCACCATCCCTGGGTCGGAAAACCGCGAGGAATCTAAAGAAAGTGGACAAGAAGCTTCCATGGAGGGGGTCTTTACTCTCTAGGGACAGAGCGGCCTTCCCCAGGGCGTCCAGGCTGTAGGGCCTGGGTGCTTGAGCAGAATTCTCAGGCAGAAGAGCAGAGTCTTTTTATCTCCTGGTTTATCTGTAGCTCTTGGACAAACCGACATCTCTGTTCAAAAGGAGGAAAATAATTAGCATCCAAACCTTTTCTTCTACAAGAAAGAAACCCAACAAATAAAACCCATCTCCTTTTGCAAGTAAAGACTCCCACAGAAGGCAAGCAGGAAAGGCAGTGTAAAAATGAAATCCTTTGAGTCCGCAGTTACCTTTTCTCTCCAGATCTAGCTGGAGTTTCTCACTTGTTTTCCTTTTGATGAAGCTAACCGCAAGCATTTCTCCTAAAGAAATGGACATAAAAAAAAGGTCGATGTGTTTAAATTCGGAAGTGCTAGTTCCCGCGATAGCTCTGGACAGCGCTCTCCCCACTTCCCGGAGGGCAAACCCTCAGCTGCAGATGGCACAGAAGAGGCACGGAGCCCACCGAGCCAGGAGAGGACTACGGGAGGCTTGGGGGCGATGTTTAACAGAGGCCTGTCATCATGAGGGGCGTGGACGAACAGATTAGAGGACACCCACACCAGGGACTCATACAGCCAGTACGGGGAAAAAAAAACCTACATCATTTGACTTGGAGGGCTGTCCTGTGTATTGCTGAATCATAACATTAAGATGCAAAGAAATGTGAATAACTAGACTCCAAACGTGTATGTTTGTATGTAATTATACAGTAGGGTGGACAGATAGAATATAGGCTGCCCAGTTAAATTTTATTGTCAGAGAATTTTTCTTAGTTATAAGTATGTCCCATGCAATTATTTTGTGGTTATTTTTGTCCCAAGTAATGTATTTTTATTTGCTAAGTCCAGAAACCCTATTATAGAAGGACGCAGAAAAGTATGGAAGGAAACGACAAGTTGTGGGAGGCACGAGAATATGGCAGTAAGAACTGCCCCCCGGTCACCATCTTCATAAAGTTATATGCGTCTGTGCATATAGAGATGGGTAAAGAAGTTAGAAAAAAAGTCGTAGGTCTATCTTTTTGTGAAGAGTGTGCTTCATATATCAAATGGAAAAGGCAAGCGGCGGAGTAATGAGTAGATAAGGTAATGCAGGGGGAAGCAGAACAATCGAACCCAGGGGGGCTTGTTCAGTGTGTGCGAGCAGAGGGGCAGCTTTGAAAGGACAGCCAGCAGGCTGCTGCAGGTGGTGTCTTGGGGCGCAGACCCTGAGAGGTGGGGTGGGAGTGGCGGAAGACTAACTTTGCTTTTTTATTTCTCTGAATGGTACTCTATTTCTTTGTGTGGTATTATGTCAACTGGTCACAACAAAATCTAGTACTTTTGCATTTTGAAAAATATCAAATAAGGAAACCTTTTTCTTTAAAGTGAGGCATCCAGTCTGGACTTTAAGAGCATAAGCGTAGGGACTCTATACACGTGGATTCCAGGCCGGACTCTGCCACTCTCTAATTGTATAATCCTGGGGAAGCTACTCAGCCTTTCTGTCCAGTGTCCTTATCTGTAAAACAGGGATAAAATACCAGCCTATTGTTTCCAATGAAGATTAACAATTTGTAAAGAGCTTTGCCTTGCAACTGGCACATAATGGTTAACCACCTCTAACGGTAATTCTTATTATTACTAGAAAATTATCTAGGATGTAAAAATCAGGATATTGAGGGAAATGGCTGCAAACTCCAGTCTGCTGGAGGCAAACCTTGATGTTCTGGAGGCGAGCCACCAACTGACTTAGGATCTTGACCAACGCTCTGATCCCTGGGCCTCAGTGCCTTATCTATTCCATGAGAGAGCTGGGCTGGATGCCTGCGGCTGCATTCGTTTACTCAATAGTTTTGGAGCATTTGGTGTGGTCAGCCCCTGGGCTAGGAACTGGAGACACAGAGATGGAAGTCCCGGCTCTGTCTTCAAAGGTGGCCCAGCCTCTGAGAGATCAAGCAAGTAAACCAGGGGACAGGTGCCCTGAGAGAATGGATTTGGGCACACAAGAAGGGGAAGATTGGAAGCGCCTTTCCAGCATCAATGTCTGAAAATATCCCGCAGGTCTTAGATTTTTTTAAACACTGTCCAGATGGTTCACAGCCAGGTAAGGAGAGAACAGAAGCTGGGTACCTGATGTTGGTTTAGGGTTGGCAGGGGAAGGAGGATTCCACACTGAGAACATCTCCTCAGAATGTCATATGCTGCCTCATCTTCTATGGGAGAAGTGATCCTGGCCTTGGGCTTGGACTTCAAAGGCAGATCCATGGTTTTGTTTGCGCCTCTTGGTGCTTGCTTTGTTGACTTTTCAGAAGGAAGAGGAAATTTGTTTTTATTTTTTTTCTTGGGACGGACATCTTTCTCTGCCGTGGAAGATTGATCTTCAGCAGCCTGGCTTGGAAGGGATGGAGGAGGAATTCTTGGCTTTCCAACTGGAAAATATTTCACAGACTCTGAGACTGTGCGACATTTATCCTGCAATTTGTAAGTAACACAACAAATTAAAAAATGACTTCAGCTTTAATGGTTGGCCAATGCAATAGACTAGATAAACTGCAAACTTCCCAGTATGAACACTTAGAAATTCTGGATAAAATATGACAAACATTTAAGTTGGTAGCTGACTTTGCAAGAAAAAGAAAGGCCCAGGTTCCAGGAATGAAGACCTGACCTGTTAAGCACATGAGCTGACACTTTGGGAGGAGACGTGGGGTCTTGCTATGGGCTTGGATGAGAGAAAAGTCCCATCCACACAAGGTGGGGAATTGGAAGGAAGATTCCCCTTTCCCTGCATGAACCTAGGAACCTTGAGGGCTAAACGATGGTGGCTAAGAGAAAAAGAATTGGCTAAATGGGAAAGGAAAGTGGCAAAGAAGCTTGTCTGAATTGGGCTGGACTTTGAGTGTGGGAAAGAAAAACTGATGCTCCTAAAAACTCGAAACCACAGGTCCATGCCATTTTTGTTTTTGGGGTTCAGATTTACATTAGCCTCATGGTCTAGGAATTTCCAAACAGAAGAATTAACTTAAAAATTGAGATATATGGCAGAAGCAATCACAAAATCACTCTGGAGGGTACACAACCTCAAACTAGGTCATACAGGCTTCTCACAGGTACAGTCCCACCAAATAAAAACTCACAATTCAAACTTACAGACACACAAGGAAGCACTCTACCTTGAGTCAGAGTCATAGTCACAACCAATAGCAGGACTAGTTTCTAAGAAGTTCAGATAATAGAACTATAAGATAGAGACTGTAAAATTAATTAATTAAAAGTGATTAAAACAAGAGAAAAGAAGAAGACTCCATGAAAAAAGAGTAGGCAAATTTGAAAGACAGATTAATAGAACTTCTAGAAATGAAAAATACAGACATTGAACCTCAATGGACGGGCTGAAAACAGCAGATTAGATTTGGCAAAAAAAGAATGAACTTGAAGATAGACTTGAGGAAATTAACCAGAATATAGGAAAGAGAAATATAAAATGTGGAAGTTAAAAGACATGAAATTAGAACCAGAAAGTCTAATATATATCCAGTATGTTCCGTATACAGAGTTGGGAGAGCAGAGAACTTTGGGGATTCAAAGAGATTATAGCTGAGATTTTTTCAGAACTGATTAAGGACATAAATCTTTAGATTCAGGCAGGAGAAATCCTGAGGAAGAGAGAAAAAATAAGCATATTTGAGCATATTGTTCTGAGCAGGATGAGTAAAAATAAATCCTCTCTTAGAGATATTGCAGTAAAACCACAGAAGATGAAAGGCAGAGAGGATCTTGAAATCACCCAGAGAAAAGGATTATCTACAAAGGAATGTCAATTACACCAAAAGCAGACTCACCAACAGCAATCACAGAGGTGGTAAGATGGCGGAATAATCTTCAAAATGCTAAGAGAAAATAACTGTTAACCTAGAATTTGATATCCAGCTAAACTACCATTCAAGAATGCAGAGGAAGTTGGTGTCAAGATGGTGGCATAGGCAGACTCTGAACTCAACTCTTCCTGTGGACACAACAAATTTACAACTACTCTTGGAAAAATTATCCCTGAGAGAGAACTGACAACTGGATGAAAAGAACACCCGCAACAGGGGACAGTGCTGATTTAAGTGGAAAAGGCAGAAACTCCTTTCCACAGAGAAAAAAAGCCACTTTCCCAAACTGTGGCACTTCATGGCTGGCCGAGAGCAATCCTAAGGTACGCAGCCTTCCCTGGAGGAGTGGGGGATCTGAATGGGAGAGCTTTACCACAATAAGCAGCTGTTGGACTCAGCACAGCTGAGACAAATGTCAGAATATCTGGCTTTGCTGGCTATTAACAACAACAGGGGATACTCCCAGGAAAGCTATCAGACATAAGGGGAAAAAAGCCTGCTCTTAAAGGGCCCCCACACAAATTCACCCATTTTGGAAAGCAACCTAATATCACCAGAAAGAAAGATTCACAGTCCTTTGCTGAAAAGAGATTCACCTGATAGGCTCTCGGTGCATCTCGGTGAGGGGTGAGACCTCTCCAGAGACTGCGACTTTGGTGGCAGCCATTATCGTGACCTAGTACAGGCATGCTGCCATTGATGCAGGCAGACACCATTGGAGTTCTTCCCCTGACCTGTTAGGGCAGGTGTCTGCCCCACCCACTAGAGCACTGATTTAATCCAGCTCAGCTAGAGCAGGCAGCCCACCCTTGGGACTGGCCCCATCCAACAGCAAGCCCTCGGGCAACCTGTGGGCTTGAATAGGTAGGGTGCCTGGATCCTCTGCAGCCAGGTGAGTGGGTTCACCTCTGCAGGGCAGGGTGTGCACAAGGAGTGGGTGGAGTGTGTGGGACCTCTGCTGTGGAGCTACTGGGCCCACTTAGAGAGTTGGGGTGTGAGTACGGGGCAGGACTGTGTTGATGGTGTGTGTGGCCCTGTAGGTGGTAGGGCTTGTCAGCTGCAGAAGACTTGTGCTTCTTGAACAGCTACATAGGGGATCAGCCCCACCTTCCAAAGCCTGAAACAATTGGGTGCTCCCGTGTCTGGGACCAGCCCTACTCAGCTGCAATCCTGAGAGAGCTGACAACACCCTTGCAGGCTGGAGGCCTAGAGTAACTGTAACCCCCTGAGTCTAGCAACCAGCCACGCTGGGGGCCTACTCTCTTAACAGAAAAACTGCAACAGGAATGTGCTATTAGACCTTGCAGCCAACTGTGCTGAGGCTCCTCACACCTGATAAAGTGACTGAAGGGTCCATAGCAGCCACACACAGCTGTGCATTACAACCAGCTGGCCAGGGGGACAGCTTAGCCTTCCTGGGCACCTGCAGCAAGAGCAATGCTGCCACAACAGAAAGACACACATGGTTCACACAGGGGTTCCTCCTGGAATGTCTGGAACTGGTGATGAGAGGGAAGCACACTTCTGGGCCTCATAAGACATCTCTTACATAAGGCCACCTCTGCAAGATCAGGAGACATAGATGACTGACCTTATACATAGATATAAGCACATAGAAAGAGGCAAAATGATGAGACAAAGGATACATTTCAAGTAAGTGAACAGGACAAAACCCCAGAAAAAGAACTAAGTGAAACATAAATAAGCAATCTACCTGACAAACAGTTCAAACAAAAAGTTATAAGGATGCTCACTGTTCTTGGGAGAAGAATGGATGCACTCAGAACTTCAACAAAGAATTGGAAAATATAAAAAGGAACCAATCATAAATGAGGAATACAATACGGGAAATGAAAAGTGCACTAGAGGGACTCAATAGCAGAGTAGATGATACAGAAGAATAGATGAGCAAGCTGGACGAAAGACTAGAGGATATCACTCAAGCTGAACAGATAAAAGAAAAAAGAATTAAAAAGGACAAGAACACTCTAAGGGACCTCTGGGACAACATCAAGTACACCAGCATTTGTATTACAAGTGTCCCAGAAGAAGAGAGAGACAAAGGGGGAGAGAATCTATTCGAAAAAGTAACCTAAGGAAGACATCCAGGTACAGGAAGCACAGAGAGCACCACACAAGATAAACCCAAAGAGGCCCACACTAAGACATATTATAATTAAAATGTCAAGAATTAAAAATAAAGAGAAAATCCTAAAAGCTGCAAGAGAAAGACAACAAGTGACCTACAAAGGGAACCCCATAAGGCTACCAGCTGACTTCTCAACAGAAACCATACAGGCTAGAAGGGAGTGGCATGATATATTTAAAGTGCTGAAAAGAAAAAGACCTACAGCCAAGAATACTCTACTGGGCAAGGTTATTCAGAATGGAAGGAGAGATAAAGAACTTCCCAGATGAGCAAAAATTAAAGAAGTTTATCATGAAGAAACCAGTCTTACAAGACATGCTAAAGGGATTTATTTAAGTGGGAAAAAGAAAACTGCAAATAGGAATAAGAAAATTATACAAAAAAAAAAGGCAATCAAATCCCTGGTAAAGGCAAAAATACAGTAAAGGTAGCAGATCAACCACCTATGAAGAAAATATGAAGGTCAAAAGACAAAAGTACTAAAATTACATATTTCCATGATAAGAGGGTGACAGATACACACATACAAAAAAAGGAGGTTAGATATGATATCAAAAACATAAAATGTGGGAGGGGATGAATAAAAGAGTAGAGCTTTTAGAAAGAGATCAAACTAAAGAGACCATCAACTTAATATAGACCGCTATATATCTAGGTCTTCATCATATATGAACTTCATGGTAATCACAAACCAGAAACCTATAATAAATACACAAAAAATTAAGAGAAAGGAACTCAAACATAATATCAAAGAAAGCTACCAAACCACAAGGGAAGAGAGCAAGAGAAGAAGAAAGGAACAGAGAAGAACTACTAAAACACCAGGAAAAAAGTAACAAAATAGCAATAAGTACATGCTTATCAATAGCTACTTTAAATGTCAATGGACTAAATGCTCCAATCAAAAGGCATAGGGTGGCTGATTGGATAAAAAAACAACACCAGTATATATGCTGCATACAAGAGACACACTTCAGGCCTAACAACACTCACAAACTGAAAATGAAGGGATGGAAAAAGATACTTCATGCAAATAGCAATGAAAAGAAAGCTGAGGTAACAATACTTACATCAGACAAAATAGACTTTAAAACAAAAACTGTAACAAGAGACAAAGAAGGGCACTGCATAATGATAAAGGGAACAATCCGCAAGAGGATATAACACTTGTAAATATCCATGCACTCAACAGAGGGGCACCTGAATATATAAAGCGATTATTAACAGATATAAAAGGAGAAATAAACAGTAATACAATAAGAGTAGGGGGCTTTAACACTCCACTTACATCAATGCACAGATCATCCAAACAGAAGATCAATAAGGAAACATTGTCCTTAAATGACACATTAGAGCAGGTGGACTTAGTAGATCTATATAGAACATTCCATCCAAAAACCACAGAATACATGTTCTTTTCAAATGCACATGGAACATTCTCCAGGATAGAGCACATATTAGGCCACAAAACAAGTCTCAATAAATTTTAAGAAGATCGAAATAATACCAAGCATCTTTTCTGTAACAATGGTGTGGAACTAGAAATTAACTACAGGAAGAAATTTGGAAAAGCCACAAATATGTGGAGATTAAACAAAATGCTAGTGAACAATGATTGGGTCAATGGAGTAATCAAAAAATACTGAAAGACAAGTGAAAATGAAAACACAACATGCTAAAATTATGGGATACAGCAAAAGCAGTTCTAAGAGAGAAGTTTATAGCAATACAGGCCTACCTCAACAAATAAGAAAAATCTCAAACAAACAATCTAACAGTGCACCTAAACAAACTGGAAAAAGAAGAACAAACAAAGCCCAAATTCAATAGAAGGAAGGAAATAATAAAAATCAAAGCAGAAATAAATGAAATAAAGACTAAAAAAAAATAGAAAAAAATTCAATGAAACTAAGAGCTGGTTCTTTAGAAACAACACCTTTAGCTAGACTCACCAAGAAAAAAGAGAAAAGGCTCAAATAAATAAAATCAGAAATGAAAGAAGAGAAATTACAACGGACACCTCAGAAATACAAAAGATTTTAAGAGAATACTATGAAAAGCTATATGCCAAAAATTGGGTAATCTAGAAGAAATGGATAAATTCTTAGAATCATACAACCTTCCAAAAGTGAATCAAAAAGAAACAGATAATTTGAATAGACCACTCATGAATAAGGAGATTGAAACAGTAAACAAAAATCTCCCAAAAAATAAAAGTCCAGGACCAGATGGCTTTCCTACTGAATTCTACCAAACATTCAAAGAAGACTTAATACCTATCCTTCTCAAAGTCTTCCAAAAAATTGAAGATGAAGGGAAGCTTCCTCACTCAATCTATGAAGCCAATATTACCCTCATAGTAAAACCAGACAAGGACAAGACAAAAAAATAAAATTACAGGCCAATATCACTTATAAGCATCAATGCAAAAATTCTCAACAAAATATCAAATCGAATACAACAATATATTAAAAAGATCAGACACCATGATCAAGTGGGATTTATTCCAGGGATGCAGGGATGGTTCAACATCTGCAAATCTATCAACATGATGCACCATATTAACAAAATGAAGAACAAAAATCACATGATCATCTCAACAGATGCAGAGAAAGCATTTGACAAGATACAGCATCCATGTATGGTAAAAAACTGAATAAAATGGGTATAGAAGGAAAGTACCTCAACATAATAAAGGCCATATATGACAGACCCACAGCTAATATCATTCTCAATGGAAAGCCATCCCTCTAAGAACAGGAACGAGACAAGAATGCCCAATTTCACCACTCTTATTTAACATAGTATTGGAAGTCCTAGCCAGAGCAATCAGGCAAGTAAAAGGAATAAAATGGATCCAAATCGGAAAGGAAGAAGTGAAACTAATTTGCAGATGACATGACTTTATATTTAGAAAACTCTAAAGAATCCACCAAAAAACTTTTAGAAATAATAAAAGAATATGGTAAAGTTGCAGGAGACAAAATCAACATAGAAAAATCAGTTGCGTTTCTATACACTAACAAGGAAGTAGCAGGAAGAGAAATTAAGACTACACTCCCATTTACAATTGCAACAAAAAGAATAAAATAGATAGGAATAAACCTAACCAAAGAGGTGAAAGACCTGTACACTATAAAACTATAAAACTATAAAAACTATAAGACATTGTTGATAGAAATAGAAGAAGACACAAAGAAATGGATTGGATTGGTGCTCTTGGATAAGAAGAATTAACATAGTTAAAATGCCCATACTTTCTAAAGCAATCTACAGATTCAATGCAATCTCTATCAAAGTTCCAACAACACTTTTCACTGAAACAGAACAAAGAATCCTAAAATTTATATGGAACAACAAAAGACCCTGAATAGCCAAAGGAATCCTGAGGAAAAAGAACAAAGCTGGAGGTGTCACACTCCCTGATTTCAAAATATACTACACAGCTATAGTAACCAAAACAGCATGGTACTGCCACAAAAACAGACACACAGATCCATGGAACAGGAGTAAGAGCCCAGAAATAAACCCACACATCTATGGACAGCTAATTTTCGACAAGGGAGCCAAGAACATGCAATGGAGAAAGGAAAGTCTCTTCAATAAATGGTGTTGGGAAAACTGGACAGCCACATGCAAAACAATGAAAGTAGACCATTATCTTACACCATGCACAAAAATTAACTCAAAATGGATTAAAGACTTGAGTTTAAGACTTGAAACCATGAAACTTCTAGAAGAAAACATAGGCAGTATGCTCTTTGACATCAGTCTTAGCAGCATATTTTTCAAGTGCCGTGCCTGACCGGGCAAGGGAAACAAAAGAAAGAATGAACAAATGGGACTACATCAAACTAAAAAGCTTCTGCACAGCAAAAGAAACCATCAACAAAACGAAAAGACAACCTAACAATTGGGAGAAGATATTTGCAAACCATATGTCTGATAAGGGGTTAATATCTAAAATATATGAAGAATTCATACATCTCAACAACAAAAAAAATAACAACCTAATTAAAAAATGGGCAAAATATCTGAACAGACATTTCTCCATAGAAGATATATAGATGGCCAACAGGCACATGAAAGGATGTTCAACATCATTAACTATCAGGGAAATGCAAATCAAAATTACAGTGAGATATCACCTCACGCCTGTCAGTATGGCTATAATTAACAAGACGGGAAACCAGAAGTGTTGGAGAGGATGTGGAGAGAAGGGAACCCTTGTACACTGCTGGTGGAAGTGCAAACTGGTGTAGCCACTATGGAAAACAGTATGGAGATTCCTCAGAAAATTAAGAACAGATCTACCATATGATCCAGCTATTCCACTGCTGGCTATTTATCCAAAGAGCACGAAAAGGTTAATGTGTAAAGACACACGCACCTCTATGTTCACTGCAGCACTATTCACAATAGTCAAGACTTGGAAGCAACCTAGGTGCCCATCAAGGGACGAATGGATAAAGAAGACATGGTCTATATACACAATGGAATACTACTCAGCTATAAGAAATGATGAAATCTGGCCATTTGTGACAACATGGATGGACTTTGTCGGTATTATGCTGAGTGAAATAAGTCAGAGGGAGAAAGTCAAATACCATATGATCTCACTTATTAGTAGAAGATAAAAACAACGACAAACAGTCACATAGAGACAGAGGTTGGATTGGTGGTTACCAGAAGGGAAGGGGGGAGGAAGGAGGGCGAAAGGGGTGATTAGGCACATGTGTGGGGTGATGGATTGTAATCAGTCTTTGGGTGGTGAACATGATGTAATCTACACAGAAATCGAAATATAATGGTGTACACCTGAAACTTATATAACGTTATAAACCAATGTTACCACAATAAAAAGAATAATAAAAAAATGCACATGTTGAGGCAACTGAAGATTTCCCACACACAGGTTCTTGCTGGAGGAGCTACTGAGAAGGGTATTTCAGGAAGAGAGAGATCTTACCCAGAAGGAAAGCTTGGGATTCAAGAAGGAATGTGAGCGAAGCAAAGGGTAAATGTGGGGGTCTATCCAAACAGGCACAAACTGCTTAAAACGACGACAATAATGACTAAAAAGGAGCGGTATGCAACAAGGTGGAACTCGATTCTGGCGGCATTTACACGTAAGGTGGGGGTAGAGAATCAGAGTTAACATGTTCTCAAATCCATATATTGTTGGAAAGGAGGGTAGAGAATATGATTAATTTTAGAGTTTATGAAGTCAAGTATGCATATTAAAATGTGAAAAGTAACTACTAAAATGATAGAAATAGAATGTGAAATTGCCAAATTGGTAGAAAAGAGGAAAGAAAACAAAAAAACTTGCTCAGACAAATAAGGTCTGGAGATCCAGTTTATAACATAGTGATTAGAGCCAGAGTTGCTAAGAGACTAAATCTTAACTGTTCTCCACGCAAAAAGAAATGACAGATATGTGACATGATAAACGTGTTAACTAGTGCTACTGTGGTCGTCATATTGCAATATGCCAATGGATCCAACCAACACATTTTACGCCTTAAACTTACGCGATGTTATATGTCAATCGCAGCTGTGTTGGCACAGCTAACACACTAAACCATGCTTAGAACTTTGGAAGGCATGGCCTGTGAGTGTTTCCAGGCAAACCAACCAATCAATCAAACAAATCATCAAACCTCTCCTGAGTCCCCTTTTTGTACCCAGTCCTGACATCAGTGTCATTGTGGGAAGATGGAGAAAGCCATTCAGTTTTGCCAGGGAGCTCAGAGTCTGACGGAGAAAACTCCCACAAGGGACAGAAAATAATAATGCAGGTCTTATTGAGGACACAGTTGCAATGTCTAGCCCCTGAAGGTGGAAGATGTTCAGAGGTGACCAGGACAGCTGAACTGGTTAGGGAGGTTCCTTGAAGGGCTGGCACAAATGGAGACCAGTTATGTTTGCTAAATTAGCCTAAAGCAATTCACTAACATCTATTTTGGAACAAAGCAAAAATAAATATGGGAGCCTTTCCTATGCATGCGATGTAAAATTGGGCCCAGAATCTACTTTTCATATCACACTTTTTGGAATATGGACTAGTTACTGGCACCATTAGAAAGTGACTAATTACTACTCACCACGTGGTGGGAATACTTATCTCCTGGAATCATTTCGTTGCAATACCAACAGCTGAATTTGCATTCAGGAGCTGAAATTTCCTTCCCTAGGTAAGCAGAGAAGCAATACCACAAATGACTGTCTGTGACAATGGCAAGCCCAACTCTCCCCCAACTGCCTACATACAAGGCCTGTAGTCATGAGTATGAACTGCTCTCCGGGCCTGCCTGGCCGTGAGTGTCCTGCACTGCCGCACAGGCGACCCTTGGCCAAATCATCCACATCATTTCCTTTATGTCTGCAGACCTGCACCCAGGGCCCCAGGAAACCCCGATGGAGAGACGTTTTCCTGGAGCAGGACTGGTTTCTAAGGAGATGGAGAGAGCTGTTACCACCCATCCCATCCCATGCAGTCTGACTGCTCTTTCATTTCACCAATTTCCAAGTTCTGGGGTCAAACCAGGCGTTGTTGTATACGTCTTTGTTAATTGTGTTGAAGCTGTGTTGTGTTGTCTTGTTGAAGTCTGTTGTGTTGATGAAGTTGTGTTAAAGTCTTGTTGGTTGTGTTGGAGCCCAGCCATGCTGGAATGAAGGAGACAAACAAGAATCTCAAGCATTCCAGTTTTTCATTTGCCAGTTTTAACCTTGGGTAGGTTGTTTACCAGGAAAGTGTGTTATCCAAGGGATTTTAGGCTCTTTCCACTTTACCATGTTACCAAAACAACCAGTGAAGTCAACAGATCTGTCGCATTGATGGGTGTGTTCTCTTACACATACCTCATAAAGAGGTAAACGGGTCTAGAGAACATGGAATGGTACTACGGAGCCAACACCCAGGCCCTGTGGCTGGGAGCCACAGCAGGTTCCCCTCAGTCCATTGCCGATGGTGGAAAAAGCTCCAGATTTGGTGTTGGGCAACTTGTTTATCCAGTCTTATTTCCTCCTCTAGCAAGCCCCTGCTTCATTCTGTGCATGGGTTTCTCATCTCTAAAAGGAGGCAGGTGGATCTCTGCCAGGCTGGGATGGTGCTGGAGGAGTTCAAAGGAGGCCTCCCATGTTGTAGGGTCCCCATTACCTCTGCACCCATCTGTGGCTCCCAGGCCCCCACCCCCTGGCCTCTTGGTCTCCCTAGAACAGTCATTTGAAGACCACAGCAGACACACAAGAAGGCCACTCTGGTACCTGGTCTAGAACTCGGATAGCCAGAGGAATTTGAGACATGCACATCTGTCATACAGACGCTCATCATCTGTCCTGTTGGGAGCCTGCGTTCCTGCATCCCACCCAGGAGATGCTCCCTTTCCTTGACGCTTCCCTTTTCCTCCCCAGCCTGCACTGCTCACCTTTCCCAAGCTGGGCCTGTTTGCCCTGACACACGTCCTTGTGCTGGGCCAGCGCTCGGAGCATGATGGGCTGGTCGCAGTCTGGGCAGAGCTGAGTCCGGCTGCCACAGTGGTACTCATGGATCTCTGCCTTACTGAGGCGCACGGCCAGCTCACAGAACTGACACGCAACGGGGCGGTCCCTGCATTCCGTGGCCTGTGGGGAGGCAGGCAGCACAGGCATGGTCACTGGCCTGCAGCAACTGCAGCCCTGTTGGTCAGTTGGGTGGATCTGTGTTATTTCCCTAGGGGACAGAGGCCAATGAGAGAAAGTGCCAGAGCGGGGACTCTCCTCTGGGAATAGAGCTCTCTTGGGCTCATGGACTGGGGCAAGCCCTTCTGACCAGACAGCAGGACCTGTGTCCCTGTGGTGGGCTAGTTCTCTGTTGTTCCCTAAGCCGACTTGGGTGAGAAGAGAAAGGTTCGGTGGAAATCTTTGTTGCCAGCCCCTCCTCGCCCTTCCTCTCCTCCAGGCTGGCTGCTTGGTGGTTAAGGAGCAAGCACACTTGACTCTCACCTCATGAAGCTCCAGCGAGTGCTTCGGCACGCTCTGCTGACACATTGCACACCCGACCTAAACACGGAGAGAGACACAGTTCCCACCCAGCTCCTGCGGCCTCTCTCCACGTCTGCCCTGTGCTTTTGGTCGGGGTCTGTGAGCTCCTAGGGGCCGGGGATCAGGTGCGGGGACCTCAGTCTCCCTGCAGCACCAGCCTCGTGCAAAGGAAGTGTTTGTGGGACCCGCTGAGTTGAAATGGATGCCTGGGCTAGAGGGTCTCCAGACAGACAGACGAGGGACCCCAGGAGGGATGGACATGAAAGAGCAGGAAAGAAAAGTCAGCCTTTGATTGACGTCAGTCATGACTGCCATCTAGAACTTTCCTTGCCTGCTTGCCCTCTTCACAAATCTCAAAAGAACATTCAGCTTTTCCCGAAACAGGGACCCCTCATCTTGGCCGAACCCATCAGCCTGCAGGGAAAGGATTGGAAATGGGAAAACCAAGGCGTGGACTCAGTTCAGCGTGAGAAAGGCAGAATGATCGTTTCCACTTCACACACGGGGGCTGGGGTGAGTAGGGCCCAGATGGTTGCCCAGAGCTGCCAAGCAAGTTGCTGCGGCGAGGACTAGATTCTGACGGGTCTCCCACTGCTCCGCGTCTGCCTCCTCACCTCCTGGTGCCCGCTCTCGCAATGCTCTTCCATCTTCGCCTGGAGGACGGGTCCCTTGCACTCGGGGCAGAGGGTCAGGAAGAGCAGGCAGTGGGCCTCGTGGAGGGCCAAGTGGGCGGAGGCCAGGCTTCTTTTGCTGCAGGAGCAAGGGGGAAGAAAAAGAGGCTTATTTCTTGGTATAAAACATGGAGTCATATTTCATACCCCAGCTGCTGCGTGAAGATCTTTCAAGGCCTCAAGCATTGAAAATATGACGGTGATGCCCTCTCCTCATGTTGGTCCCCAATCAGAACAAAGCAAAATCATAAAATAAGTGTAAGGACGCTCTACAAAGCTCTCACATTGCCCGGGGCCGGGGTGGGGGGTGTCTGGGAAGGAGCGGGAGGGAGAGATCACCAACGGAACTGAGGAAACTTTTGGGGGTGATGGACAGGCTCATTATCTTGGTTGTGGTGATGGTTTCATGGGTATATACCTATGTCAAACATGTCAGATGGTGCACTTCAAAATTGTACCATAAATGCAGTTTATGGCAACTGTACTTCGGTAAAACTGTTTTAAAAATGAACGAACAAATATCAAATTCTTTCCAATATTTTGTCTTGTTTTCAAGTGTTCCCCTGCTTGGCCCGCGGCCGGTTGGGATCCAGTCCCGCCAAGCCCACGCCTCTTGCAAGGGCAATGCAGACTCAGAATCTCCACAGCAAGAGCTCCCCACGTGTCCAAGAGTGAGAGGCCATCCACCGAGGCCCTGCCTCCAGCTGACCTGTGCGACCTGCAGAGAGGTCCCAAGGCCCTTCTCGGAGACCCCGAAGAACGCAAGCCTTTGCGCCTCCCAGGTCCTGGGCAGGGGGATCTTAACAGTCCTCCTCATGAAGAATGCCTCCTTTCATTTCAACCAGCTCTTGCTTGTGGCAGCTTGGGAGGAAGGAAACTCAGTGACGGGCCCTGAAGACCCCAGCAATGATGAGCGTTGCACACCTGAGTCCCTGGCACATGGGATGTGGCCCGAGGGGAGTAGCTGGAGCCCGGGTCCTCTCGATCTGAGCAGGCTGGTGGCTTCTGCACTGCCCAGGCGGATGGCACTGAGAGTGCTTCACTTTCCCTCCCTCTATTCCTGCCCCTCTGCCTGGCCTTGCCCTTCTGCTCTCCCTGCCCCGTCCTCTCCTCTCTTCTTGCTGAGCTGGTTCAGACACCAGGGAGCCAGGAGGGTCTGGCTGGAGCAAAGCTCTCCGGGAAGGACCCTCCTGGTTCCCCAACAGGGAGGGAGCTTCAAGAGTGAGGCGCTCCTCGGCTAGGTCCCCCTGAGTTAGAGGGGTGGTCCTGGACGCCTGCTCTGTCCCTCTTACCCCACCCCACAGCTCCCTCTCAAGGTGGGGTGGGAGCGGTCCCAGAGAATGTCCGTGGGCCCCTTTCTTTCAATGACTGCTGTGAAGACCCTATGATCAGAACCCCAAATTAGGACTCAAGGTCTTGACAGTATGAGTAGCCCAGCAGGGACCATTAGCCTGGCTATTTGGCTTCAGGATTGGATTGTCCCAGAAAGTCCAAAATATCTCAGGGAGGCGGGCAGGGGTCAGTGACGTTAAGGTAACCATGACCACCTCTCATGGTCTCATCCTGTCAGAGAGCCACTGAGTTTAAACCCTCCTACCCCAGGGGGCCCCAGTCCCACCCCGTCCCTCCCGGGCGTTGTTATGCACCGACCTTCGTGTCCCCACTTCTGAAGCAGCCTTGTCCCATCTGCCCCTCCCACTGGCCAGCCCCAGGTCCAGGTCCGCTGCCAGAGAAAGCGACTCCTTACCAGTTCCTGCACACCTGGAGGGCTCCCTCCATTTCTGGGCTCTGGAGTCTTCCTGTTGAGTTTCTGTTTCTTGTTGAAGAAGAAACAAAACTGAAAGTGTCCCACAACCCAGCCCACAGGTCCGGGGAGGGAGGGTTTTCAGAGTTCCCAGCCCAGGGCTGCTCTGAGCTTCCTGCAGCTGGACACTCCCAGGAAGCCCAGCCTGTGCTGTCACCCCGAGCTGCTGTCACCCAGTGCTGCTGGCACCCAGAGCTGCTGGCACTGGCTGTTTCTACAACCTCGAGGGAGGGAGCCAGAGGCCAGGCCCCTCCTGGGCAGCAGCCCCCCCGCCCCCCCAGGCTTTATTTCCCTCCACACAGCGCTGACCACCGTCCCTCCTGTTCCTCTCACCGGCCCTTCCTCTGCAGGAGAAGTGGCTCGCCGTGTTGAACTTGAAGGCTGCTTCCTGAGAGCAGCTCCCGGACTTCCTGTGCTCTACTCTGGTCCCTGTTGGTGACGACTTTGCACACAGGGTCTAGGAGGAACTGGGGACCCAGGGTGTCAAGACTGCAGGTTTTGGAGCCACATCATTCGGCAGCTTGGTGACCTAGGGCAACGGTTTACCTCCCTGAGCTCTTTCCTCGCTTGTAAATAATTACAGCAAACACGACTGTAGGGCTAATGGAGATGAGCAAGTGAGGAAGGCTCTGTTTTCACCCCCCGCCCCCATCTTCAGCTAGGGAAACCGAGGCACTGAGGGGTGATGTAACGTGCACACATCGCACAGCCAGTAGGCAGCAGAATCAAGCTTTGAACAGAGGCAAAGTGGCCCTGGGCTTGTCTCTCCTGAATGGCCGTAGGGTCGGAGATCCGAGTTCGAATCCTGATTAACTGGCAGCTTGAGTCACCTCAGCCTTTTGGACTTCTCTTTCCTCATTTTTGGACTCAACTGGGGAACTGGGGGACTTGAGGAATTTGGGTGATCCCAGAAATTGTGTGAAAGTTACTTTCACATATGTGCCTTTTCCCAAGGAAGAGCCAACTTTTTTTTGTTTTTTTTGATGAGGAAGATTGGCTCTGAGCTAACATCCGTTGTCAATCTTCCTCTTTTTGCTTGAGGGAGATTGTCACTGAGCTAACATCTGTGCCAATCTTCCTCTATTTTGTACGTGGGATGCTGCCACAGCATGCCTTGATGAGCAGTGTGTAGGTCCATGTCCAGGATCCGAACCCGTGAACCCTGGGCTGCTGAAACAGAACGTGTGAATTTAACCACTATGCCACTGGGCCAGCACTGGAAGAGCCAATGTTTTTAGCAGACCCAGACAGTTATAAAGGACTGGACAAACTGACCCAAAGATTTGAGAGTCAAAGAAATCGAGTTCTGTTAAAGGCAACACATGTCCAAAATTACATGTGCATAATTGAATCAAGTGAATAGAGAACATTCGTTTGTCTACCCATGTTCTTTTCACAGGGAGAAGCAGGGTGCAATTAGTTAGAGAAATAAAAATGATGAAACAGTGTATCAAATTGTTCAAGTACTGAAAAATTTGCAGATAATTGCAACCCCATGAGAAACTTTTGGATATTATATACTTCATATTGAAATTTTTAAAGGGGATCTAATATGTGTTTGTTTCCTGGAATTTTATTTGTAAAAAATCAAGCCCATCTTTCATTAGCTTCCGTCTTCACCTTTATTGTTTATAAACACAGTTAATATGTGAGTGTGTGGCTGGAGAATTTTGATCGTGGTTTTGCACATGCGTCTAAGCATTTTAATTTATTTCAGCTTCAGTGAGCGCACTGTGTACACAACTTGACAACAGCTGATAACTACCCAGCAGCTTTTCACTAACATGTGAAGAAATCCATCCTGACATTCGGAGACGGGAAATCAAGAAGGGGTCACTGAAGCAGAGACGGGTACCACTTACTCAAAGCGCCTAGCGTGGGGCCTGGCCGTTTGTGGGGCTCTTGGTGCTGGGTGGGAGCACAGTAGCTTTCAAACTTGTCCACACATTGGCATTGCTTGGGGGGCTTACAGAAACCCACTGAAGCCTGCCCAAGCCCAGAGAGTGTGAGTCCACTGCTCCGGCACGTGGCCAGGACTTTGGAGTCTCCAAAGGGTCCGAGGCGATTCTAAGGTGCAGAGAAGTTGGGAGCCACCGGTGTAGGAGGAAAAGGCTGGTTCTTAGGTGCAGGGCCAGGATGGTGACTCAAGTCTTCGGCCCTTGGCTTTCCGTACGGAGACTAAAGGGATGGGGGCAGATGAGCGTCATTGGAAATTCTGGACAGAGAGATGTGCAGTGTGGGGACAGACACTTGGAGCTCATGGAAGAAAGATGGGCTAGGTTGCTGTGGAGGGGAGAGCTGGGACCACTTGCTGGAAGCCCCTGGAGGCTCTGAGCTTCCTTCCAGTTACTACCCTGTCCCTGGATGAATGTCAGGGACAGAGGGGACCCGGCCCTATGAGTGAAGCTGGGAGGGTCTAAGATGCGGTGAGCACCCAGCTCTCATGTGCCCCCTGTGGGTGAGCTCGAAAGGAAGCCCACCGAAGCCAGGGTGCGGACAGGCCCTTCCTCCGAGCCAGCCCAGGGGACTCCACAGGAAGAGAAGGGGTGGTGGCCTGCCGGACGAGATGTGGGAACAGGATGTGGAGGCTGCTTACACACCCCCTCCCCGTCCACCCGCTCCACAGACCTGCTGTCATGTGTATCCCCCGGGGTCCTCAGAGCTTTCCCAGACCCCAGAAGCAGCTGTGCTAACAGAAACACTGCAAACAATGAGCGACGAGAGATGACACAAGCAGGAGAATTCTTGTGAAGTCTACAAATGCGATGGGAGCAGCCCCTCTGAGGAGAAGAAGGAGATTAAGGAAAAGGCCCAGTCGGACTCCAGCCTCCTGCCAGGCTACAGATTCAGGCACCAAATGAGAAACAGTGTGCGGTGATAACGACGATCAGAGGGGTGGGAGGTAACAGCCAACGAAGGCTGAAAGATTTTCCGTGTCCCAGGCATTCTGCTAAGCATTTTACAGGCATTCATGTTTTTCCATCTGCCCAACAGCTCTGGGCTAAGAATTATTAGAATGTTAAAGAGAACTTAGAACTATATAACTAATGCATGAATATGCTTTCTTTTAAAAAAATTAGAATATTACAGATAAAGTAAGATTTCTTTCTGACCACCATGCCCACTCCTGAGCCATCACTATTTTTAACTGCAGTGTGTAACCAGGAACATTCTGGTTGGCACAAAGGCCTGTCCCCGTTCCCACCACGACATGAATCGGTGCTGTGGGCTTGCATGATTTCATCATTGTGCCACCCGTCTTTGGCTGGTCACCAACCCTTGCCCAGCCCCAGGCCCATAAAAACTAAATTAGAAATGCTCTGTTGTGCGTTTAGCATTCCTCTCGAGGACGCTGCGGCTACCCGCTTGGCAGCTGTCAGGAGTTTCCGGCAGTGTCTTTGTGTCAGGCCTGTGGGTCAGGGGAGGGGGGTAAGGGTTGTCACAGGGAACCAATTCCTCAGACCTGGTTTAGCCAGGCTGCCCAATGTTGCCTTCCACTGGGAGGAGGGAAAGGTGAAGTGGGAATTCTGGGCTGGACCAGGAACTAAGAATAATAAAACATACCTCCATGCATTGTTTTGAGGATAAAACGAGATTGTGTACTAAAGCTGTACAAGGTCCTGGAAGATAAGAGAGAATACGAAAAGAAGGTTAATTCAACAACCAGCTTTGGGAAAGGATCTTACTTAGGTTTTATTCTTTTAAGGGATCGCTATGCTCAGGAAAATGACGTAACGACAGAGGTATTTCATTTCCCAGACAAAAATTACATGGTGGAATTGCGCACACTTATGTTGGTCATGCCTTTAAGAAGGATCCTGTGGTCAGAGTGGGCCTGAGTTCTGGCAGACGCGATCATCAAGATTGCAGTCTCCCCAAGTACAGTATGTTTGAGTGGGAGTTTGTTTTTCAGACCACATGCAATTGCATCAAATGACCAGTCTCTGGATGGAATTCCAGCCTGGGAATATCTGTGATGGTGTTTGGGGCAGACTCCAGGTCTGGCTGGGTGGCAAAGTCAGGGAATACCCTGCCAGCTCCTGCTTAGCTGGCATGCAGAGGGGAGGAACCTTGTCATTAAACTCTTGGGCAAGAAGCAGCAGCTCCATGCATCCTGTCTGCACTTGTGGTCCCAAGAAATTTTCTTTGCCCTTCTGTCTGTTGGAGGTCTCTTTCCTCACCTTCTCAGCTCTTTGTCCTGGTTAAAGCACCTCCTCCCCCACTCCCCCAGCCAATCAGCAATCACAGCTCCTCTCTTCGTCCCCAAATGAACATTTTCCCCGTGCCTCAAAGGGACATTTCAGGGTCAGGCTTCAGGGGCCTTCTCCCTCTCCCAGGGGATTTTTAGGTCTCAATCATGCAATTGCCACCTTCATTGCTCCCAAATCTCGTGGGAAACAGGACCAATGACCATGCACATCAACTCTTTCGTTGTCACTTTTCTGGGGGATGTAAGAGAAAAAATTCAGACCCTGAGCATCTTTTTACCCCCAGAATTAAGACTGTGCATGAGTAAGTCGTGGTGATGAGCAGCTACTCAGACCTCATTTCAGAGAAAAATTAGTGTCTTTAATGGTTAAAATGGAAGCTCCTATTCGTGTCTTGAATAAAACATCCTCTTCCACTGCTTGTCTCTATGAGTGTCTCTTTCACCTCGTCCTTGACCTCACGTGTTCTTTCTGACAATGGCTTGCCCCGGCTCTGAGATCTTGAGGTCACGTCGGTAGCTTGAGAAGGGCCTTGGTGGAAATATTTACACCACGGAAACTGGCAAACACTACAAATCAGGGCATCTCCTCCCCACCCTCCTCCCACCCCCACACACGAGCTGGCTGCTTTTCTATCTCAGTGATGTGACGTGGGCTCCATGCAGAAGGCCAGGGGCAAGTCAAGGTAGATCGTTGAAAAACAAAGAGACGCAAAGTTAAAGAAAAGTTTATTGTTCCTTAATATTTATCATGAAAGTGTAAAAGTTAATTCAGAGGAGAGGTTATAAGCATCAGCTTTTTCATTGACATGTGAACTTATTGCCTCCAAAAAAGTGAATCAAAGAAGGAATGTTTATTTATTTGAGCCAATGTGTCAGTCTTGCTCAGGAAAAAAATAAGGCACCATGCCAAGTCAGCACGATATTATTTGACAAAGCAGAGGGCATGGTCTGCATTGAATTAGTCCCTTATCCAAGTGTGTTATTATAAGATATAGTAGGTAGGGTATAGTCCACCATACTTTCCACTTTATTTTGCATATTAATTAATTTTTAACAACCAAATGGCCTATGTGCACCTGGCTCAGGGGCTACAACCACAAGCAAAATAAAGTCTCTGCTCTTAGAGAGCTCGCAGACTCGAG